CCGACTTGATCAACGCAGTCCTCCATCCGAGGAAGAGGAAATGAATCCGGCTTAGTGACATCGTTTACCTTACAGTAGTCCGTACAAAATCTGTTTGTTCCATCCGATTTACTGACCAAGATACAGGGAGAAGCCCAACTGGAGAAAGAAGGCTCTGCTATTTTACTCTCCAGCATGTACCTGACCTCAGCATCCAGACAACGCAGTTTCTCTGAAGAAACTCTATAGAACTGTTGACGAATGGGGTCAGCATCTCCAATGTCAATATCATGTTCTATTAAGTTTGTACGTGTAGGTGTATCAGAAAACAACCCTGGAAATCTCCGAATCAAACCAACCATCTCTTTCTGCCCATCAACAGGTCGATGAGTAAGAAGGCTATCTAAAATCTCCAGTGTCTCTGAATTTTTCAATCTACCCTGCAGTATGCAATCGTCGGGTCCAGAAACATCTTCCTGCTCCTGCACAGACCTAGCATGACCAGAACCCAGGGAATAAACAGTATCAGCCAAAAGAACAGCCTTACCGTCCTCTGTAGACCCCCCCTGTTCAGTCTCAGAGGAATGTGCATAATAGGGTTTTAACAAATTTACATGGCACAGTTGGTGTGCTTTCCTCCGTTCTGGAGTGGCAACTAGATAATTTTGCTCAGTGTACTGGCGCACCACTGTATATGGACCTTGAAACTTGGCTTGAAAAGGAGAACCAACAATTGGCAGCAGAGCCAGAATCTGATCACCTGGACTAAAGTGACGAGGCTCAGCTCGGCGATCATATATGCTCTTCATCCTGTCCTTTGAAGATGATAGCTTCTCTTTAGCCATTTCACCAGCGGCATACAAGCGTCGCCGAAAATCACACACACATGATAACAGGGACTGAGGAGGCTCGGGAGACTTCCAGTCATCCTGGAGAACAGATAAAAGCCCACGCACCCTATGTCCAAACACTAGGTCATTTGGGCTAAAACCCGTGCTCTCCTGTGAAACCTCCCTAGCAGCTAACAGTAACCAAGGCAACCCCTCCTCCCAATCCTTTTCCATCTCAGTACAATAAGCTCTCAACAAAGACTTGAAGTGTTTGATGGAAACGTTCCAGTGCTCCTTGACTTTGGGCATGATAGGCGCTAGACAAGTTGTGTTTAATATGGAGTTGTTGGAGAACCTGACCAAAGAGATTAGAGGTGAAATTAGATCCTTGATCACTTTGAATGACCTTAGGGATTCCAAACAGTGAGAGAAACTGAGTCAAAGCTTTTAACACAGACTTAGTCGTGATAGACCGGAGAGGATAGGCAGCAGGAAACCTAGTGGTCTGACACATCACAGTCAACAAATAATTACTACCCTTTCTAGAACGAGGCAGAGGACCAACACAGTCAATAATCAGATACTCAAAAGGTTTACTGAGTACAGGAATAGGGAACAGTGGTACCGGCTTAATAGCTTGATTAGGTTTACCAGTTAATTGACAGGTGTGACCAGTTTTGATGAAATCAGAAACATCCCTCTTTAATCTTGGCCAAAAGAAATGTCGTAATATACGATTGTAGGTTTTTCTCACACCCATATGCCCAGCAACATCATTGTGAGAAGTTGTCAGCACCAACTCACGAAGCTTAACTGGTACCACAACCTGACTAATCGCCTCCCCCAGAAAACAACTACCATGAGACATCCACTTTCTCATCAGGACCTCCTCTTGGAGAAAATAGCCCTGTGCGACATCTCCCAACTGTTCCACAGGCACAATTTGGTCCCGCAACTCTTCTAATGTAGGGTCAGTCCGTTGCGCCTCGATTAAATCGGAGCGGGATACAGATAACGGGATAACAGGGAAAACAGTAACAGACTTCTTTGTGGTATTCTCGTTAGCCAGTTCCGTGACCAGGTCGTCATGGATCATAGAACGCGTCACTGCACACGCAGAGAACACCTCTGGGAAATTCTGCGCCCTCTCATCAGGAATCCCTACAATTGAAGGCTTAGTGGAAACCACTAAAGATGGAAACACGATAGGCCACACACGCTCCCCAGCCAAGTTATTTCCAAGGATCACGTCAATACCCTCAATAGGCAATGAAGGACGCACCCCCACAACAACCTCACCTTTCACCAGTCCACAATCCAACATCAGTTTATGCAATGGAACTGACAGAGTGTTCAAACCTATTCCCCTAATTAGAACACTATTCCCCGAATCAGTCTCCGCAGAGTAGGGTAACACAGATTCCAACACAAATGATTCAGAGGCACCTGTGTCTCTTAGGATCTTTACTGGCACTAGGTTCTTACTTCCTAACAGACACAAAACCCTCCGTAACGAAAGGTAAATAGTCGGGATCAATATAGCCTTTCACATGGCTCTGGGCATGAGACAATGCGTCAGGAGTGAACTGATGTGGAACAGGCGCTGCTAACGCTGTAGGCCTCGATTTACCATAAGCACCTGTACTGAATTTACCCCTAGACCTAAGAATCGGACATTCATTTTTCCAATGACCTAATTCTTGACAGTAGTGACACTCTTGACCAAAGTCAGTTTTACCACAGGTATCAGGCTCAACCCTAGTTGAATGAAACTCTGCCCGGGAACCGAAGTATCTCGGCGAGCGAGGCCCAAATCTCTGCGAACGCCCCCACTCACTCCGAATACGGGGTTCTGCAAAAACATTTTTGTGAGTCAACACATATTCATCTGCCAAAACCGCAGATTCAGCGACAGTCTTTATTTTTCGTTCGTTAATGTACGTCGCTATACGATCAGGGATTGTGTCCTTAAATTGTTCTAACATAATCAGATCACACAGCCCTTGGAAAGTCATAACTGCAGAGGCGGAACACCAGCGATTAAACTGTGAAGATAATATTCGCGCAAACTCAACATGAGTCTGCTGATCATCCCTTTTTAAAGTTCTAAATCGTTGGCGGTAAGCCTCAGGGACCAATTCATAACTCTGTAACACAGCCGTTTTAACCTTATCATAACTAACACTGTCGGCTACACTAAGAGCTGAATATGTTTCTTGCGCTTTACCAGTCAGCACACACTGCAACATCAAAGTGCGATCAGAATCAGGCCAACTCCTAGCGTTAGCAACACGCTCAAACAACAAAAAGAATGTCTCCGGGTCCTTTTCATTAAACTGGGGCAACAACCGTAAATTCCCAACTATATCAAATGTGTCTGGGATTACGACCAAAAGAGGAACGACCCCTAGGTAACTCTGGATCACCTTCCCAGAGCAAACTCTCCCCTGAGAGCTTTCCTTCCCTAACCAACTCTAGTCGCTCTTGTTGCAGCTTGATTTTAGCACGCTCCATATCCTGTTTAAATTCCAATTCCCTTTCATATTTGACACGATCATGCTCCATTTTAGCTTGTCCATGCTCTAGCTGTAACAGAAGCAGTTCTTTCTGCTGTTCAAAAAGAAGACTACTATGACTAACCAATGGAGCGGTCATTGTAACATATCGGGGAGACGACGAGTCCTCAGCAGAGGCTGCCCCAGTGGTAACTTCAAGAATACCACTCTCCATCAAATTGGCCTTCAATATTAACCTAATAGAATTTTAGACGTTTATCACTAATTTCAACCTTGTAGTGTTCAGCAACCTTCAACAGCTGTTCTTTAGTACATAATTCTAACAGTTCTTCTGATGGAAAGCGAATGAACTCATCTACATTAGACGCCATAATCAGGAAAAAAATAAATAAAATATATATATCTCATAATAATCTTGCTCAACCCCTCTGCTGAGCACACCAGACACAAGAGAAATGACAATCACACCGAGCACCACAGAAGAGAGATGGGATATGGAGCTTCCCCAAAACCTACAATAACTCAACCCTAGTCTTCGTGCAGATTCGCGGTGGGTAATTACGCACTGTAGCCCGCTGGCAAGGAATTAAACCCCCCAGCACGCTGGTAGATTCCCCCAAGCCACGGATGTGCCCCCGAGACAACTGCTCAGTCCACAGACACCACACAAAAATAACAAACATTTAACCATGCCCAACGTATCCCAAAACAAAACACGTCACTAAGCCTATCAGGGGAAAAAGCTATAGCTCCGGGTAGCAAATGTCACTACCCTACCCAATCTCCCACTGAGGTAGCCGCTCTGGATAAGAGCGTCTGCTAAATGACTAAAATGTAAATGTAAAAATGAGGTACACAGCCGATTGTACTCACCTCCAACCGATGTCCCAACAGCGAGTAGAGCAGGGCCTGGAAACTAACCAATGTCTCTCTCCAACGCAGTACACAACCCAAAGGCAACCAATACTGGGCCTATCAAACTCAAACAAACTAACAAAATTTACAAAGAAAGACCCTACAGAATTGGACATTAACTCCACGTTCTCCCAAACACAACCAGTTCAAGATCCCGGACGACCCCCCACTTGTCACGAACCGGCTCAAGTTCGTAACAAAAGGGAGACACGTGGAGACAAGGAATACTCAAAGTATATATTTATTAACTAAAGTAAACTAAATCAAATAACAATGGTGTGTGTAATCAGTAGTGTAAGTGAGTGTTTGCATGCATAAATGTAATATGGAAAGGTGTTGAGAGGTGCCAAAGCAACAACCAAAAATACCACAACCAAAGCCAAAGTATCTGCCTGAGAGAGTCTCCTCAATGAATGTGGAAGAGGTCCATTTATGCTGGGACACACCCGGCCCAGGTGTTTCCCATGTAGCTGACGACCCTCCCAACTCCGCCTACCGGGATCCTAATAAGGAAACAAGAGCAAAGAGAGAATACGGCAGACAGAGTGGGAGGGTCGTCACATACAAGAGAAATGGACTTGGCCCACCAATTTAATTAAATCACCAGTATTTAGTATTTAATGTAACATTTTTACTTGTGTTGCTTTTGTAGTCATGTATGTTTGATACGTTTTTTTGTCAATGTGCATTATTCATACTATCAGGAAGAAGCTTACTGAACGGTCTGAAGCAAGCATTCAGGTGTCAGAATTCACAGTCAATGCCGAAGGTAAATGAAACTAAATGTACCCAATTTACTTTTTTTCAAAATCCCTTGTGCTTTTATCAAGATAGTTTGGCAGTTTATTAGTGAAACGTGTAGCTAAATGTCTGACAAGATCTAGGAACAGTGATAGAAATCCAAAATGTGATTTTACAGTCTGAACTGTATGTCTGTCTGTGTGTCATAACTGACAGGTGAAGGAGACCTAAATCAATTTTTCTGACCTCATTGGGACCTTGGATAAGACCCCCAGTGCATTAATGAAGACGAAGAAGCAGCTGAAGAACCTTCAACACAACCAGAGCACCCTGGAGACACCCTGACTAAGGAGGAGACAGAAAGGGTAAGAACATCAACGGGTAGAATGTCTAGTCTTGAGTGCAGGCCTCTTGTTAAATACTCTGAGATGTAAACAATATCCTTTTACAGATCCAAAGAGAAGTGGCTTTTGAGAAAACATCAAAAGAGGTGTCCCGCTGGCAGAGTGTGGTCCTACAGAACCAGAAGGCAGAGCAGCTGGTATTCCCACTGAACCAGGAGCCCTCTGGACCTAAACGCATGGAGAAGGTGGTGGCTGGATGGAAGGTGGGTGTAAAACGTTCCTTTAGTTTTTTTTCTGTTTGTGTTTCATGATGGTAAACTAATTTCAAATATTATATGCTCCAGGCCCAAACCCCCCTAGAACAAGAGCTATTCAGCCTCCTGCACATGAACAAGCAGCCTCTCCATGACCCTGTCCTGACACCCACTGAGGAGGCCTGTCTGAGGGCCATGAGTCTGGAGGAAGTGAGTCCCACCTCAAACATCCAGCATGTGGTCATATGCATAAGATAAGCTACATCTGGTGTGTTAGTGCTGGGCAAGGGCAAAGACCTGCACACACTACTGCCCTTGACTAGTGTATGCACACTAAAATGACAATGTACTGGAAAAACAACAATGCACAAATTGTGGAGTTTTTCTAGATTGTTATTGATTGTCTCTACAAACAATATATATATATATATATATATAGTTTATTTTTTTTGTCAGGCTAAGATCCGTCGCAGAACTCCAAAAAGCCAGAGCTCTACAGTCTTATTATGAAGCGAAAGCCAAAAGGGAAAGAAAAAGCAAAAAGTGAGTGTTTGACATATTCTTACAACATACTGTAGTTCCCTGTATGTAGGAGGATTTTACACTATTTCGGTAGCGTAAACCAAAATGTACTGTTTTATTGATTTTCCTAAAGTGTGCTGTGAAAATAAATTCCTAACTTATGTATAAGCTCTGCTGGAGGATGAGTAATACAAAGTAGAGGTCTTCACGGATCCACCTGTACCCGAGAACTGATCCGGACCCAGAATTCTAAATGTTGTCACGGGTCTGGGTTGGATCTGATTTGATTGTCACGGTCTCATCAGGTATGTGTAATTTCAACTGACTTGTCCCATACAGATCCGACCGCGACTGCTGCAGTAAAGCTAGAGGGAGAGACATTACAACATTTATGCTGCTGCTCTTGCTTTTGGCAAGTGGAGCGTGGCGCATGTAGCTTGTTGTTGGCCAATCATAAGTAATCAAAGCGGCAATGGGCTACAGTCATAGAGCCTCCGTGAGTGACAAAAGTTAGGAGATATCTAATCGATGGAATTAAAAGTTCAAGGAGAAGGATAGGCTACAATGACCAAGAGCTAACAGGTAGGCTGCTACTTAATATTATTTTACATTTACATTTACGTCATTTAGCAGACGCTCTTATCCAGAGCGACTTACAAATAGGTGCATTCACCTTATAGCCAGTGGGATAACCACTTTACAATGTTTTTTTTTTAGTTTTTTGGGTTGGGGTTGGGGTAAGGGGGGGGTAGAAGGATTACTTTATCCTATCCCAGGTATTCCTTAAAGAGGTGGGGTTTCAAATGTCTCCGGAAGGTGCTGAGTGACTCCGCTGTCCTGGCGTCGTGAGGGAGCTTGTTCCACCATTGGGGTGCCAGAGCAGCGAACAGTTTTGACTGGGCTGAGCGGGAACTATGCTTCCGCAGAGGTAGGGGAGCCAGCAGGCCAGAGGTGGATGAACGCAATGCCCTCATTTGGGTGTAGGGACTGATCAGAGCCTGAAGGTACGGAGGTGCCGTTCCCCTCACAGCTCCGTAGGCAAGCACCATGGTCTTGTAGCAGATGCGAGCTTCAACTGGAAGCCAGTGGAGTGTGCGGAGGAGCGGGGTGACGTGAGAGAACTTGGGAAGGTTGAACACCAGACGGGCTGCGGCATTCTGGATGAGTTGTAGGGGTTTAATGGCACAGGCAGGGAGCCCAGCCAACAGCGAGTTGCAGTAATCCAGACGGGAGATGACAAGTGCCTGGATTAGGACCTGTGCCGCTTCCTGTGTAAGGCAGGGTCGTACTCTCCGAATGTTGTAGAGCATGAACCTACAGGATCGGGTCACCGCCTTGATGTTAGCGGACAACGACAGGGTGTTGTCCAGGGTCACGCCAAGGCTCTTCGCACTCTGGGAGGAGGACACAACGGAGTTGTCAACCGTGATGGCCAGATCATGGAACAGGCAGTCCTTCCCCGGGAGGAAGAGCAGCTCTGTCTTGCCAAGGTTCAGCTTGAGGTGGTGATCCGTCATCCATACTGATATGTCTGCCAGACATGCAGAGATGCGATTCGCCACCTGGTTATCAGAAGGGGGAAAGGAGAAGATTAGTTGTGTGTCGTCAGCGTAGCAATGATAGGAGAGGCCATGTGAGGATATGACAGAGCCAAGTGACTTGGTGTATAGGGAGAATAGGAGAGGGCCTAGAACTGAGCCCTGGGGGACACCAGTGGTGAGAGCACGTGGTGCGGAGACAGAGTTGTTATTTGTAACTGTAGGATGAGAAAGCACATGCACTGCAGCCTCAATTAGCCTAGCTAGCTAACGTTAGCTAGCTTAACTAGCTTCTCCTGGTTTGATGCAGTCAAGACAGGTACTACCTAATCATATTGGATGATTAATAGCTGCCATTGCTAGATTATTTATCTACTATAGCGTGAATCGGCTTGGTTGTTTGCTGTGTCTCGTCTCTCCCTCCCTGCTTCCTGTGTCGCTCACAGTATGGCCCCTCCCCCACCTGCTAGAGCGGTACCTTTACCTCCCTCCTCTCACGCTGTATCAGCTCTGGTTGATAAAGTAGCTTAAAAAATGACTTTTCTGCTGCTTCCATCACTCGGATCGGACCGGGTCTGGATCCGACTAGGTCTATCTATACGGAACAGGTCTAGTGGTCCTCGGGTCCGTTCGGAACTGGTCTCTATATTTATTAAATTAATTTATGCATATCGGGTCCCGGTGGAAAAGTCCCAGGTCCATTTCAGAACGGGTCCAACTTTTGTTGACCTGTGAAGACCTCTAATGCAAAGTAAAAGGAAATCCAATTATCTAGGAGGAGGTTGATTTGTAGGAAGGTGGCATATGAATGGTGTAACATCACTGCAAGGAAACATCAGAGGCAATACATGATAAATAACGTTCCGATTTCTTCCCCAGATACCACAGAGTACAGAAGAAAGTAATGCGTAAGGAGTATCTGAAACAGTTTGATGAAATGGTTAAGACAGACCCTGCTGCTGTCTTGGAGGAACTGAAGAAGATGGAACTGTCAAGAATGAAGGTAAACTTTGAAACCTTTACAAGAAAGGAGAGATTGATGGAAACAACTTAAAATAACCTAAGAATAAATTCTGATTATTAATTTATTAATTGCATTAAACCTGCTTCTTTTGCTCTGTTTCATCTCTACTCACACAGGAACGAATGTCTCTGAAGCACCAGAACAGTGGCAAATGGGCCAAGTCAAAGGCCATCATGGCAAAATATGATGATGGGGTAATGTGCTTTTAAACCGTTTTAGATGTATTTTGTTTGTTTATAGGCTATTACGCTACCAGTTGCAATATTTTATGTGCAAAAATATTGTATTGGCCTGGCAGTTTGAGAGAACCAGTGTTTTCAGAAAAGAGAATGGTATCATGAGACCCCATGCCTGAAATAAATTGACTGAGACTCCTAATTTGTTTCCTTTTTGTCCCTAGGCTCGCAAAGCCATGCAGCAGCAGCTGGAAGTGAACAAAGATCTGACCCAGAAGTTGGTAATCCCTGCTGATGAAGACGAGGAGGATGAAGAAGAGTCGGCAGACGCCTTGCCAGACTTTATGAATGACGCAGAGCCCATACTGGACCAGGTGAATCCATGGATGAGGTGCAAGCTTTCCACAGAGCCTACGGTGCAGGAAGAAAGCAATGGTATGGAGCCTCCTGTTGTGAGGCCCAGAGAAGTTGGAAAACCAGGGGAAGGACGGGACGACCAAGATGAGGAGCAGTTGGAGGAAACCGAAGAAGAAGCGCTTTTAAGAGGGTTTGAGGAGAGGCGGAAATTGCGTCAAACTGAAGATTAGGTTCCACCCATGTCTATGGAGGAGAATGAGGGTAAGATCAAGTTCTGATATAGTGTCACAATGTAGGGTCATGTCTTCGCAGATTAGTTTCACTCTAATAACATGATCGGGAGTAAAACGTCATTGTCTTGGGAAAGAGGAGGGCCTGGTTCGGGTTAGGATCCTGGAGGATGTGGAGCTGCTTAGTCAGGACATCTCTGCCAGTGACCCAGCGCCTCCGACCACTCAGACCCCGAGCACAGATGAAACTGACCCTCAGTCTGCAACTCAACAGGCAGACAAAAAGAGAAAGAAAATGATTGATCCCAATGAGGTTTTGACCAAGGAGGCGAAGGTCATCAAAGTGCCATTGGCTCCAACAGCTGTCGAGGATGTTGAGGTAAGGGACACAGTATAAAGACAAATACAGTACATGTCATTTTCAAGGTGCATCTAAAATGAGGGCCCTTTGATCTGCATGAGGCTTCAATGCACCAATCAGTGCACCTGCCTGCAAAAATATATTTATCTATCCTATGCTGTTATGAGAAAAATAAACCCTGCCTTTTCTGCCATGTAATGTCTTTCCATCTCAGGACAAGGATGAACAGAGGGTCATCATTAAAGAGGCCTTTGCAGGGGACGATGTAATCTCTGACTTCCTGAAGGACAAAAGGAAACGGGAGGAGGCAGGAAGGCCGAAGGTTATCGACCTGACGTTGCCTGGATGGGGAGAGTGGGAGGGCCTCGGTCTCCAACCCTCTCGTAGCAAACGCAAGAGGTAAGTAGATGGCAATGGCATAGAATTGTGGTAATTTGACAAACTGCTCTAAGTAGCGTTATGCAGGTTTAGTGGAGGTATTTCTGAGTTTGTCCCCCTAACATGGTTTGCTTTTTTGTCTACTGAAGATTCCGGGTAAAAGTTGCACCACCTCCACCAAGGCAAGACCAAAAGCTCCCTAACATCATCATCTCAGAGAAGCGGGATTCCTCCATTGCTGCACACCAGGTGACCTAGCTCAGTGACGTGCATACTATTTTAGTACAAATATGACTTTGTGTTATGGTCTCTGACCTCTACTTTCTTTCTGTTGTAGGTGAGTCAGTTACCGTTCCCATTTGAGAACCCCACACAGGTCGAGCGCACCATTCGTTCTCCTGTTGGCCTCACCTGGAACACCCAAAATGCAGTGCAGAAGATCACAGCGCCAAAGGTCGTCACCCAGTTAGGCGCCATCATTGAGCCAATTGCTCGGCAGGACTTAACAAAGGACAAAAGGCAGGCAGTCACAGGGAAAGGGCCCAATATAAACCTGGAGTCAGACAAAGGCCCTCAGGTGAAAAGACGCTTGCAGCAAAAGAAGAAACACAAAAATAAGTGATGGTCCTACTGATTGTGATCACTTAAATGTCTATGAGACTGTTGATAAGAACTCATTCTGTTCCATTAGGTTAAGGTTGTATTTCAGTGTTGAGGGTTCTGTGTCTTCTGGTTGCCAGTTTATTTTAGTGACTGATTCAGAAAAATATTGAATTTGGCCTTTACTACTATAGCCCATAGAAACGCATTGAATAACATATTCATAAATGGCAAAAAAAGACAGGAAATAAGGTTTTGAAGTGTCTGTCCTATATCTAGGAGATATAAAAAATATCAGGAAATATATATTACACATATTTAACCCCTTGTTTTGGGTGTGCACAAAACTACCTTCATGCTTCCATTAATTATTTAAAACCGGTACCGGTTACCTTCAGACGTGTCCCGTGACACTTGTGGGGGTCGGAGAGCAACACCATCGTGTTCGTGAGTCTCCCCTTTCCATAGAGTGATCATAATATACTGAACAAAAATATAAAGGCAACATGTAAAATGTTGGTTTCATGAGCTGAAATATAAGATCCCAGAAATGTTCCATATGCACAAAAAGCTTATTTCTCTCAAATTATGTGCACAAATGTGTTTACATCCCTGTTAGTATTTCTCCATCCACCTCAGGTGTGGCATATCAAGAAGCTGATTAAACAGCATGATCATTACACAGGTGCACCTTGTCCTGGGGACAATAAAAGGCCACTCTAAAATGTTCAGTTCTGTCACACAACACAATGCCACAGATGTAACAGAGTCTGTAATTGGCATGCTGACTACAGGAATGTCCATCAGAGCTGTTGCCAGATAATTGAATGTTAATTTCTCTACCATAAGCCGCCATCAATGTCGTTTTATAACATTTGGCAGTACGTCCAACCAGCCTCACAACCGCAGACAACGTGTAACCACGCCAGCCCAGGACCTCCACATCTGGCTTCTTCACCTGCGGGATCATCTGAGACCAGCCACCCGGACAGCTGATGTGAAACTGAGGAGTATTTCTGTCTGTAATAAATACCTTTTTGTGGGGAAAAACTCATTCTGATTGGCTGGACCTGGCTGCCCAGTGGATGGGCCTATACCCACCCATGGCTGTGCCACTGCCCAGTTGTGAAATCCATAGAGTAGGGCCTAATTAATTTATTTCAATTTACTGATTTCATTATATGAACTGTAACTATGTAAAATTGTTGCATGTTTTACATTTACATTTTAGGAGATGCTCTTATCCAGAGCGACACATACATTTTCATACTTTTTTCATACTAGTCCCCCATGGGAAACGAACCCACAACCCTGGCGTTGCAAACGCCACGCTCTACCAACTGAGCTACACGGGACAAAAATGTTGCGTTTATATTTTTGTTCAGTATAGTTTTGTAGGTTTTTGTGAGAAGACCGATTGTCGGGATGTCTCATGGTCTGACAAACACCGCTGTAGCTCTGCCACCTTTCACTGTAGGTGTGGAAGTGCGACTGCAGTGAATGAGACACATCCAATGCAAAACAATTGATATCTCTAGTTTTAAACTGATGGATTTTGATATTTTTATGTTACTCAGAATTGATGGGGTGCGTCAATCGACTCTAGGTTAAAGTGCATAAAGAGGCAATCAGCAGTGGAAACAATAACAGCCCGTTTTGATAAAAAGCTGAGGGATGGGGTTAGTGAAATTAAACCACTCTCAAATTCATAGACGGAGATATGGATGCAAGGACTGACCATCCATGATATGTTTTAACCATGTTTTGAGGCGAGTGTTTGTTTACGATTACTTTGTTTACAAACATTGTAGTAAAACAAGCTTATATTTTGGGTTCTGATGGGGAACAACAGCTGAACTAAGCTCATGAGGCATTTATATGTTATATTCTTCAAGAATCAATGGGTGTATCATTAATTTAGAATTCCAAAAATGGATGTAGCAACTGCTGATTGCCCCTTTAATAAAACACCACTCATGTAACAGATCTAGTCACTGCTGTCAATAAACTTCACTGGCTGGCCCTTCTAGGACTATTCTGTATGAAGTGCTGTTTTCTTTTTTACTGGTATATTATAACATAATTTGTTACCTGGAGTGCTTTTGTTGATAAGAGTTGATTGTTGAGAAATATTGCTCTACATCCAGAGCAATGGTCAGTAATCCATAGATTAGAGCTTTTCTTCATCATGGTGTAAATGCTTGCTGTTGATTGCATGAAGTTGGTAGAGCATGGCGTTTGCAACGCCAGGGTTGTGGGTTTGATTCCCACTGGGGGCCAGTATGAAAATGTATGCACTCACTAACTGTAAGTCGCTCTGGATAAGAGCGTCTGCTAAATGACTAAATTGTAAATGTAAAATGTAAGATGAAACATTGCACAACCCCTCACATTGCACAGCCCTTCACTTTCCATTGCGGTTCAGAAAATGTGACTACTTTTCTTTTGCCATCTAAAGGGAATAGGATAAACTATTTATTTGGAAATCGAACGGGACTGTTGCTCTTGCTCATGTCAAGGGTTCACCTGACCAGTGGTGACCCGTCATTCAGGGACGTTGGGGCATAGCCCCACCTGTTTAGCTAAAAAATGATACATATAATGTGGTGACTTAAAGAAGAGTATAAGTTAAGGCCTCAACATACTGCTGAATATATCTGAACTAACGTCTATCTGAATTTCTGTCAGTGTCCATTTTGAAAGTGAAGTCTATTCTGAATTAAGGCCTACCTTGTCATAGCTAGTTTGCTTGCAGTAGCTTATACTTAGAGCTCCGTGTTAATGATATAAGAACAAACATTATGAATCTACTGAAAATAAATCTAATAATGTTTGTGTATGGTTCAAAAGTCAAAACTCATGTCGGCATTCATTATTATTGAAGGAGAATGCGGTTCTTATGGAGTTACACATCCACAAGGAGTCAGTAGTAACCATACTTATTTAAGCAAGTCAGCCATATCAACTTTGGTTTTTAAAAAGGCAGTAAATGAGGCTGAATGAACTGTTTCGCTGCCAGACGAGGCTCCGCTGATAGCCAGGTGTAGCAGTGGTAAGGATTCCCTCACTACATGGTGCTGAAAGGAATGCTGGCTATCGGGACAGCTTTATGTAGGACCTAATAGTTTGTGGGCACCGTTTGTCACCGTTATAGTGCAATGAATGTATTGTTTAGTGTTGTGGCTTTGCTGGCATGCATCTAAAAAATAATTGTTGAGTTTACCCCACCAAGATTGACATGCTAAAATCGCCATTGCACATGACACCCTTGTTGGTGCACAAGCATGTGGATGAGTGACTCAGCAGTAATCTGCTTCAAAAGACCATCTCTTGATTCAAGGCTCCCAATTCACTCTTCCTCCACCTGCTGTCTTTGTACATAGTGCCGGATTATTATATACAGTGGGGAGAACAAGTATTTGATACACTGCCGATTTTGCAGGTTTTCCTACTTACAAAGCATATAGAGGTCTGTAATTTTTATCATAGGTACACTTCAACTGTGAGAGACGGAATCTAAAACAAAAATCCAGAAAATCACATTGTATGATTTTTAAGTAATGAATTTGCATTTTATTGCATGACATAAGTATTTGATACATCAGAAAAGCAGAACTTAATATTTGGTACAGAAACCTTTGTTTGCAATTACAGAGATCATACGTTTCCTGTAGGTCTTGACCAGTAGGTCTTGACCATACAGACCTTCTCCAGATCCTTCAGGTTTCGCTGGGCAATACGGACTTTCAGCTCCCTCCAAAGATTTTCTATTGGGTTCAGGTCTGGAGACTGGCTAGGCCACTCCAGGACCTTGAGATGCTTCTTACGGAGCCACTCCTTAGTTGCCCTGGCTGTGTGTTTCGGGTCGTTGTCATGCTGGAAGACCCAGCCACGACCTATCTTCAATGCTCTTACTGAGGGAAGGAGGTTGTTGGCCAAGATCTTGCGATACATGGCCCCATCCATCCTCCCCTCAATACGGTGCAGTCGTCCTGTCCCCTTTGCAGAAAAGCATCCCCAAAGAATGATGTTTCCACCTCCATGCTTCACGGTTGGGATGGTGTTCTTGGGGTTGTACTCATCCTTCTTCTTCCTCCAAACACGGCGAGTGGAGTTTAGACCAAAAAGCTATATTTTTGTCTCATCAGACCACATGACCTTCTCCCATTCCTCCTCTGGATCATCCAGATGGTCATTGGCAAACTTCAGACGGGCCTGCACATGCGCTGGCTTGAGCAGGGGGACCTTGCGTGCGCTGCAGGATTTGAATCCATGACGGCGTAGTGTGTTACTAATGGTTTTCTTTGAGACTGTGGTCCCAGCTCTCTTCAGGTCATTGACCAGGTCCTGCCGTGTAGTTCTGGGCTGATCCCTCACCTTCCTCATGATCATTGATGCCCCACGAGGTGAGATCTTGCATGGAGCCCCAGACCGAGGGTGATTGACCGTCATCTTGAACTTCTTCCATTTTCTAATAATTGCGCCAACAGTTGTTGCCTTCTCACCAAGCTGCTTGCCTATTGTCCTGTAGCCCATTCCAGCCTTGTGCAGGTCTACAATTTTATCCCTGATGTCCTTACATAGCTCTCTGGTCTTGGCCATTGTGGAGAGGTTGGAGTCTGTTTGATTGAGTGTGTGGACAGGTTTATTTTATACAGGTAATGAGTTCAAACAGGTGCAGTTAATACAGGTAATGAGTGGAGAACAGGAGGGCTTCTTAAAGAAAAACTAACAGGTCTGTGAGAGCCGGAATTCTTACTGGTTGGTAGGTGATCAAATACTTATGTCATGCAATAAAATGCAAATTAATTACTTAAAAATCATACAATGTGATTTTCTGGATTCCGTCTCTCACAGTTGAAGTGTACCTATGATAAAAATTACAGACCTCTACATGCTTTGTAAGTAGGAAAACCTGCAAAATCAGCAGTGTATCAAATACTTGTTCTCCCCACTGTATATATATATTTTTGTGTAATTTTTACCCCCTTTTTCTCCCCAATTTCGTGATTACGATCTGTCTCATCGCTGCAACTCCCCAACAGGCTCAGGAGAGGCGAAGGTCGAGTCATGCGTCCTCCGAAACATGACCCGCCAAGCCACGCTTCTTAACACCCGCCTGCTTAACCCGGAAGCCAGCCACACCAATGTGTCGGAGGAAACACCGTTCAACTGACAACCGAAGTCAGCCTGCAGGCACCCGGCCCGCCACAAGGAGTCGCTAGAGTGCGATGAGCCAAGTAAAGCCCCCCCGGCCAAACCCTCCCCTAACCCGGACCACGCTGGGCCAATTGTGCGCCGCCCTATGGGACTCCCGGTCACGGCCGGTTTTGGGATCGAACCCCAGGCTCTAGTGACGCCGCAACACTGAAATGCAGTGCCTTAGACTGCTGCGCCACTCGGGAGGCCCTAGTGCCGGAATATTTTGACCTAACCTGAACTAATAGAGCTGTTGATGTTTGGTTTGGTCGTTCTACCAGCGCTCTCTACCTGCTTTGGCTTTCCCAATGGTACCTGTGAGGACAAGGTCCCTTGCCACTCTGGGGTGCAGACACAGCCCACCCCAGCACAATCCTGACCAGCACTCTTCAGACTAGCCAGCCCCTTTACAGGTAAGATGTTGGAAATTTCCAAGGAACCAGATGTGATTTCTGACTTGATCAGACTAGTAGGGGAGAGTGGGGTAAGTTGAGCCAAAGGGGTAAGTTGAGCCAACCTTGTTTCTCTGAAACCATACACACAATTAATCATTTTACCAAATATTTAGGGAGAGATCATTTCATGGAGTCTGTGAAGGAAGAAACTGTTATGATGAGTTTCTCGGTTATCAAGTAATCAAGGATGTAAGAATATTAATGCAAATGTTTTATTAGTCGGTACCGGGTAAGATACAACAAGGGCAGAGCTTTGCCTCTTACAGTTTCCAACTGACTCTTACAAAGATCCACTCTCCCTTATATACCCTTGGTTATCATTCCTTAACCTACATCTGGTAACCCTCCATGGGCACTCCCTTTCTCTGATGTTATTACTCTTTACCCCAAGTCAGTATATCCTGTCCATCCATCATGCTATCATAAACATCAGTAATCTCCTTTGACATAATGGAATGTAGACTCTGTGGCCCCTAACCACTTATCTAGTAACTCTTCCCTGGTCCACACAATACTATGACCTGACATCATTACAGAAACCAAATGGAAAAAGTTCGTTTAAGCAAGTTAGATCCCCAAAAATGTTTTTCACCAAGTCAAATTAATTTGTGTTAGAGGTTTCATGATGCTTGCATCTAAACCAAAGTAGATCATTTTAAGATTATTCTATACATCAGTTACATTTACATTTTAGTCATTTAGCAGACACTCTTATCCAGAGCAACTTACAGTTTTAGTGAGTGCATACATTTTTCGTTGGGGTCTCTAGAAGCTTCAATAGGAGGTCCTAAAGTTTCAAGTTTGTATATTTTTTTTACCTAGCATCAAAGTGCATCCTTCTAGCTGTGTGGGCTAATATAGTCAAAATGTTTGCCTTGGGGTAAGTTGAGCCAATGGCAAGTTCAACAAATTGAAGTGTTTTCTTCACAGGCGTAATGCAAGGCATTATCGCTGGGATATGAGGTAACAGGGCCTGGCCTATGTTAAAAGCATGAAATTACAAGTGTTTGTTAGGTGTTAAGCCTGTGTTAAAATATGCTTAAAATTATTAAAAGACAAAAAAGTTATTGTGATTGTGTTGAATTAGGTTTGGGAAATAAAGAAGGTAGTGGTAATATTTCATTCAGTACAGAAATTTGTAGGCGGCTTAATTTACCCTGTCTCAACTTACCAAGAAACCACTTTTTTTGGACAATCTAGGTTTTCAAAATGAATGTTTATATGAATTCTGATTATTTCCAGGGATACACAACATCCTGAAACATATGTAGATATCTTTGTTAGAAAGAATACTATATTTCTCTTGGAGTGACATGGAATGTAAAAAATGGCTCAACTTACCCCACTCTTCCCCTAACACTTGTCTGCTTGTGGGTAGTAACATTATGAAATAACCCTAACAAATAGTTCACAAATGAGAGAATGGGTCTTAAAAATACAGCTTAGTGGTTTAGAGCCGTTTTTGCCAGTAACCAAAAGGTCGCTGGTTCTAATCCCCGAGCAGACTAGGTGAAAAATCTGTCGATGTGCCCTTGAGCAAGGCACTTAACCCTAATTGCTCCTGTAAGTCGCTCTGGATAAGAGCGTCTGCTAAATGAAAAAAAAAAAGTTATAAATTCATAGTGGCTGGCATTAGGCAGGCCAATGACAGTGGACACAGCTAGACCTTTTTCAGTGGGTGAGACAGGGCTTACATTTACTGTGTTACCATTCCATCTTTTGGATGGAACCTTAAACGGGTGTCTTGACTCTCTGTGGTCACTAAAGATCCCATGGCACTTATAAGAGTAGGGGTGTTAACCCCAGTGTCCTGGCTAAATTCCCAATCAGTTGGTGTATTCCCCAATAAGTGACCATAACTGGACCAAACTACAGAGGAATGCTTTTGCTTTAGGAAGTTGGCAACTTCCTCCTACAGATTCCAAATTCCTTCAGGTACAATACCAGTCAAAAGTTTGGACACACCTACTCATTCAAGGGTTTTTCTTTATTTTTACTATTTTCTACATTGTAGAATTATAGTGAAGACATCAAAACTATGAAATAACACATATGGAATCATGTAATAACCATAAAAAGTGTTAAATCTAAATATATGTTATATTTGAGATTCTTCAAAGTTGCCACCCTTTGCCTTGATCACAGCATTGCACACTCTTGGCATTCTTTCAACCAGCTTCACGAGGAATGCTTTTCCAACAGTCTTGAAGGAGTTCCCACATATGCTGAGCACTTGTTGGCTGCTTTTCCTTCACTCTGCTGTCCAACTCATCCTAATTTAGTTGAGGTCGGGTGATTGTGGAGGCCAGGTCATCTGATGCAGCACTCCATCACTCTCCTTGGTCAAGTAGCCCTAACACAGCCTGGAGGTGTGTTTTGGGTCATTGTCCTGTTGAAAAACAAATGATAGTCCCACTAAGCACAAACCAGATGGGATGGCGTATTGCTGCAGAATGCTGTGGTAGCTATGCTGGTTAAGTGTGCCTTGAATTCTAAATAAATCACTGTCAGTGTCACCAGCAAAGCACCCCCACACCACCTCCATGCTTCACGGTGGGAAGCACACATGCAGAGATCATCCGGTTGGAACCAAAAATCTCTAATTTGGACTCATCAGACCAAAGAACAGATTTCCACCGGTCTAATGTCCATTGCTCGTGTTTTTTGGCCCAAGCAAGTCTCTTCTTATTATTGGTGTACTTTACCTTTTAAAATATTATTTGAAGACGGCTAACTATTCTGTAACCACTCCCTCCATCTTCAAATAATATTTTTGCAGGAATCTCCTTGTGAATGATTTTGCAGAAAATTGAAATAGATATGTAATCAAAATGCATAACATATCTATTTCAGGCAGCCAAAAGGCTTTAGAGTTTTTAAATTTGTATCCATGTTAGAATATTAGAAAAGACAAATGACTTATAGCCTTGAGTGGGAAAAATTGTGAAAGTAGGAGAGCCACACATTTTATAGCACTCTAGATGGCAGCAAACATGGACCACAGTAGTCAAAACATAGTGTTACGTTCTCCCTTCGGGTGTAGTTCGTCAGAGGAGGAGAAGTAAATGCCCGTGCCTGCGCACACAAGGTAAACTAGATGGATGGGGAAGAAATGTGGGGTGTAATGAACTGAAATAACCAGACAACAACCAGAACTCAATGATAGCCCTCGGGGACGTTTAGTAAGGTAATTAAGCCAAAAATAAATATACAACACCCATTAAGAAACAGTAATAAAACAAAAACCAATCAAACAAACCAAGGAAGTTAAGAGAAGGGAATGTTTGGGAACGGGGTCCAAGTAATGAAAATAAACAAAAAGGTCCCTCCTCTTCTACAAACCTAATCCTTCCTAACACACTCTAAGCCCTAACCCACTTTCCTACCTGTTACCAAAAATACAGGGGTGACACCCGCCCGGCTAACCTAGTGTGTAAAACAATGGGTTATCTACGTGTGAATGTACACCCATGGGCAGATCTACCTTTTCCCTTCTCCCGGACCTAGGTAGGGTGGAGTACATCAGGAGGACACAAAGATACATTAAAATAGCCAAACAACAAGTGTCCTCCCCCCCCCCCCCCTCTTCGAGCTCATACGGCAAACAGTTTATACTCTTGTCAATCAGCTACAGCTGCCAGGACTCCAGACCGAAGCCACGCCCACCATTGTCAACCGCCACTCAGTACACCTGTAATGCCCAGAACACACAAACACACTACAAAGGAAAATGGGGAGAAAGAAAAACACGTCACACGTAACACATAGCAATAGGGCAATATGTCCACTAAATGTAATCAAAGGGACCACTAAGACCCTACAGGAATGGTGAGAAATCCATATCTTCATTTAAAATCAGTGTACTTAATGGCCTGTAGTTTGTAAACCTTTGGCTTAGCTTTAAGGCGGTCCCCTTTTATCTAATTGAGGCAGGAGCATAATCACTACCCAGAGCTTGTAGGAAGGCAGGGTTCAAATAAATAAGGCAGAATGCAGTCCATAGGCATGAAAAGTTGTATTACATTTAGCCAGTGATGTTGAATTTTTTTTATTTAGAGGACTTTATTGAGCTCATCATAAAAGACCAGCACAAAGGCACTACCCGTGCCTCTGAGAATGTTGGCCCAGGATCCCTTGAAGAAGGCCTTGCCACCCTCATCATGAGCAATCCTCTTCCAGCAGTCAATGGTCCCATTATACATGATATCAGCTGAAAAAATGTAAGGTGACACAAGTTAGAATGTTATGCCAATTAAGTAGTATTTGGAATAGCATGTTGCTTCTAGTCTTCCAGATGTGGAATTCTTCCCTATCCATTTAAACGTGTTAACACTAAAGCCCCGTTTCCACTGGCACTTAAAATTAGGGCCAAATTCAAGATGGTTCAAATGGAATTCTCAAATTCGAGCAGGGTCGAGGGAAACCCGGGCAACTGGTGCCAGCTCGATTAGAATTTGGGCTGGTGACGCCGTTACTATACAACCACCAAGCTGATCACTGCTGGATGCTTACAACGTTAACTAGCTCGTTTGGCCTTGTTGCTGTTAGCTAGCACATGGACAAGCAGTACTGCAGTACAGACATTACACGAATTACCACCATAGCTGGATCCTTCATACATTTTTGCACTACACAATAAACTTTTATGAGAACAGTCAATCAGTTGAAACAAGCTACCTAGCTAGCTAACGTGAGCTAGCAGGAATTTTAGCTGGCCAGGTCGTCTGGTTTGCTTGATTAGATAGCTAGCTAATAGCCCATACCATGGCAAGCAAGGTAGGAATTAAGCTAGCTAATGTCAGCAAGCTAATTACATGGCTCTGAGTCTGGCTGGCACTGGCAGGAGTATGGGGTAACGTTAGTTACAGCTACCGTTAGCGGTTTTTCACCATTGTCCGTGGCCTGCACCACCTACCAGCCAGCTCTAGCCTGGACTATTATTCGGCCAGTCTGTACTGTCTGCACAGCGCGTTATCGACCCAGAACATATCGGTTTTTCTGCCGGAATCACTGGATCGCTGGACCTTTAACACCGGATTCATCGCTACCAGCTAGCTGCAACAAAATTGCCGTTGTGGTTTGGCTAATCAGCCTGAGCTAGCTTTGAGCCAGGCCCATGAGATGAGCCAGGCCCATCTCCCGGCTATCTACCTCTCTGTCAACCGGACGGGACCACCTAGTGTTGACACGGAGCCCCGCCGATCCAACACGACTGGTCTGCCGACGAAATCGTCTGATGTGGTTACAACAGGCTTCCCGTTACGACGTCGACCACGAAGATTCCATCTGCTAGCCCCGGCCCGCTAGCACACGCTAGCCGAGGCCTCTTGCTCGCTAGTGCTTTAGCAGCCCCCGAACTACCTTCGAACTATCCTATTGCTGTTCACCGGACCTTATGATAACTCAGCTATACAGCTGATGCCTGCTGGACTGTTCCTTTTTACGGTACCGCATCCTGTTTATGTTTAGCCTCAGCCCAAACTGTGTCGCCATTACCAGCTGTTGTCTTAGCTCTCTCAAATTACACCTGTGATTGCTTTATGCCTCTCTCCCATGTCAATATGGTTTGCTTATTGCTGTTTCGGGTTATTTCTTATTGTACTATTTCACTGTAGATCCCCCAGCCCAGCTAAACCTGCCTTAGATAGCTCCTTTGTCCCACCCCCCATACACGCGGAGACCGACTCAAATCGGTGCCTCCAGTGATGCTATCTCTTTCATTGTTACCCAACGCTTAGGTTTACCTCCACTGTACTCATATCCTTCCATATCCTTGTCTGTACATAATGCCCTGAATCTTTTCTACAACGCCCGGAAATCTGCCCCCTTTATTCTCTGTATCCAACGCACTAGAAGACCAGTTCTTAAAGCCTTTAGCCGTATCCTTATTCTAGTCCTCCTCTGTTCCTCTGGTGATGTAGAGGCTAACCCAGGCCCTGCAGCCCCCAGTATCACTCCTACTCCCCAGGCGCTATCATTTGTTGACTTCTGTAACCGTAAAAGCCTTGGTTTCTTGCATGTTAATATCAGAAGTCTCCTTCCTAAATTTGAGTTAATCACTGCGTTAGCACACTCCGCCAACCCTGATGTTCTAGCAGTGTCTGAATCCTGGCTTAGGAAGGCCACCAAAAATTCTGAAATTTCCATCCCCAACTATAACATTTTCAGTCTAGATAGAACTGCCAAAGGGGGTGGAGTTGCAATCTACTGTAGAGATAGCCTGCAGAGCTCTATCATACTATCCAGGTCTGTGCCCAAACAGTTTGAGCTTCTACTTCTAAAAATCCACCTTTCCAGAAATAAGTCTCACTGTTGCCGCTTGCTACAGACCCCCCCTCAGCCCCCAGCTGTGCCCTGGACACCATATGTGAATTGATTGCCCCCCATTTATCCTCAGAGTTCGTACCGCTTGGTGACCTAAATTGGGATATGCTTAACACCCCGGCCATCCTACAATCCAAACTAGATGCCCTCAATCTCACACAAATTATCAACGAACCTACCAGGTACAACCCTAAATCCATAAACATGGGTACCCTCATAGATATCATCCTGACTAACTTACCCTCTAAATACACCTCCGCTGTCTTCAACCAGGATCTCAGCGATCACTGCCTTATTGCCTGCGTCCTTAACGGGTCCGCGGTCAAACGACCACCCCTCATCACTGTCAAATGCTCCCTAAAACACTTTAGCGAGCAGGCCTTCCTACTTGACCTGGCCCAGGTATCCTGGATGGATATAGATCTCATTCCGTCAGTAGAGGATGCCTGGTTGTTCTTTAAAAGTAATTTCCTCTCAATCTTAAATAAACATGCCCCAATCAAAAAATACAGAACTAAGAACAGATATAGCCCCTGGTTCTCCTCAGACTTGACTGCCCTTTACCAGCACAAAAACATCCTGTGGCATACTGCATTAGCATCAAATAGCCCCCGCGATATGCAACTTTTCAGGGAAGTTAGGAACCAATATACACAAGCAGTTAGGAAAGCAAAGGCTAACTTTTTCAAACAGACTCCAAAAAGTTTTGGGACACTGTAAAGTCCATGGAGAATAAGAGCACTACCTCCCAGCTGCCCACTGCACTGAGGCTAGGAAACACTATCACCACCGATAAATCTACAATAATCGAGAATTTCAACAAGCATTTTGCTACGGCTGGCCATGCATTCCACCTGGCTACCACTACCCCGGCCACGAGCTCTGCACCCTCCGCTGCAACTTGCCCATGCCCCCCCCGCTTCTCCTTCACACAAATTCAGACAGCTGATGTTCTGAAAGAGCTGCACAATCTGGACCCCTACAAATCAGCTGGGCTAGACAATCTGGACCCTTTCTTTCTAAAACTAGCCGACGAAATTGTCGCAACCCCTATTACTAGCCTGTTCAACCTCTCTTTCATAACGTCTGAGATCCCCAGAGATTGGAAAGCTGCCGCGGTCATCCCCCTCTTCAAAGGGGGTGACACTCTAGATCCAAACTGTTACAGACCTATATCTATCCTGCCCTGCCTTTCGAAAGTTTTTGAAAGCCAAGTTAACAAACAGATCACCAACCATTTCGAATCCCACCGTACCTTCTCCGCAATGCAATCCGGTTTCCGAGCTGGTCATGGGTGCACTTCAGCCACGCTCAAGGTCCTAAACGATATTATAACCGCGATCGATAATAGACAGTACTGTGCAGCCGTCTTCATCGACCTGGCCAAGGCTTTCGACTCTGTCAACCACCGCATTCTTATTGGCAGACTAAATAGCCTTGGTTTCTCAAATGACTGCCTCGCCTGGTTCACCAACTACTTCTCAGATAGAGTTCAATGTGTCAAATCAGAGGGCCTATTGTCTGGACCTATGGCAGTCTCTATGGGGGTGCCACAGGGTTCAATTCTTGGGCCGACTCTTTTCTCTGTGTATATCAATGATGTCGCTCTTGCTTCTGGTGACTCTCAGATCCACCTCTACGCAGACGACACCATTTTGTATACATCTGGCCCTTCATTGGACACTGTGTTAACAAACCTCCAAACAAGCTTCAATGCCATACAACACTCCTTCAGTAGCCTCCAACTGCTCTTAAACACTAGTAAAACTAAATGCATGCTCTTCAATCGAACGCTGCTGGCACCCGCCCAGAATCACTACTCTCGACGGGTCTGACCTAGAGTATGTGGACAACTACAAATACCTAGGTGTCTGGTTAGATTGTAAACTCTCCTTCCAGACTCACATTAAGAATCTCCAATCCAAAGTTAAATCCAGAATCAGCTTCCTATTTCGCAACAAAGCCTCCTTCACTCATGCTGCCAAACATGCCCTCGTAAAACTGACTATCCTACCGATCCTTGACTTCGGCGATGTCATTTACAAAATAGCCTCCAACACTCTACTCAGCAAATTGGATGTAGTCTATTACAGTGCCATCCGTTTTGTCTCCAAAGCCCCATACACTACCCACCACTGTGACCTGTACGCTCTTGTTGGCTGGTCCTCATTACATGTTCGTCGTCAAACCCACTGGCTCCAGGCCATCTATAAATCACTGCTAGGCAAATCCCCGCCTTATCTTAGCTCATTGGTCACCATAGCAACACCCACCCGTAGTATGCGCTCCAGCAGGTATATTTCACTGGTCATCCCCAAAGCCAACACCTCCTTTGGCCGCCATTCCTTCCAGTTCTCTGCTGCCAATGACTGGAACGAATTGCAAAAATCTCTGAAGCTGGAGACTCTTATCTCCCTCACTAACTTTAAGCATCAGTTGTCAGAGCACCTTACCGATCACTGCACCTGTACACAGCCCATCTGAAATTAGCCCACCCAACTACCTCATCCCTCCCACAAACACAAGGTGAAAACAGACAGTTTAAATATGGCTCCCAATCAGAGACAACGAGCCAACAGCTGACACTCGTTACCTCTGATTGGGAGTCACTCAAACAAAGAAACACAACAACCTAGAACAACCCAACCAAGAAACAGAACACAAAGAAACGAACACACCCTGGCTCAACATACAGAGTCCCGGAGCCAGAGCGTGACAGTACCCCCCCCTAAAGGCGCGGACTGCGACCGCGCCTCAATAAGGGCTAAACAAGGGAGGGCTGGGCGGGCATACCTCCTCGGCGGCGGTTCTGGCCCCGGCCTTGCCCACCACCCTCCAAACAACCCCCCATAGCGCCCCTGGTCCGGTCTGACCCCGCTGGCTGGATCTGGACTGGACAATGACGGAGCAGATTGCTTACGCTCCGTTGTGGAGCAGCTGACCGGTCTTACCAGGCTGACGACTCGCACCCCGGGCTTGGTGCGAGTAGCAGGAACGGGCTGAACCAGGCTGACGACTCGCACCCCTGGCTTGGTGCGAGTGGCAGGAACGGGCTGGACCAGGCTGACGACTCGCACCCCTGGCTTGGTGCGAGTGGCAGGAACGGGCTGGACCAGGCTGACGACGCACCCCGTAGGCTTGGTGCGTGGAGCAGGGACAGGCCGGGCTGGGCTGACGACGCACACCGTAGACCTGGTGCGTGGAGCAGGGACAGGCCGGACAGGGCTGGCGACGCACCCCGTAGGCTTGGTGCGTGGAGCAGGGACAGGCCGGGCTGGGCTGACGACGCATACCGTAGGCTTGGTGCGTGGAGCAGGAACAGGCCGGACAGGGCTGGCGACGCACACCGTAGACTTGGTGCGTGGAGCAGGAACAGGCCGGGCAGGGCTGGCGACGCACACCGTAGACTTGGTGCGTGGAGCAGGAACAGGCCGGGCAGGGCTGTCGACGCACACCGTAGACTTGGTGCGTGGAGCAGGAACAGGCCGGGCAGGGCTGTCGACGCACACCGTAGACTTGGTGCGTGGAGCAGGAACAGGCCGGGCAGGGCTGTCGACGCACACCGTAGACTTGGTGCGTGGAGCAGGAACAGGCCGGGCAGGGCTGGCGACGCACACCGTAGACTTGGTGCGTGGAGCAGGAACAGGCCGGGCAGGGCTGTCGACGCACCCCGTAGGCTTGGTGCGTGGAGCAGGGACAGGCCGGGCTGGGCTGGCGACGCACACCGTAGGTTTAGTGCGAGGAGCAGGAACAGGCCGGGCAGGGCTTGCGACGCACACCGTAGGCTTTGTGCGTGGAACAGGAACAGGCCGGGCTGGGCTGGCGACGCACCCCGTAGGTTTGATGCGAGAGGCAGGAACAGGCCGGGCTGGGCTGGCGATGCGCACCGTACACTTAGTGCGGGAAGCAGGAACGAGCCGGGCCGGGCTGGCGACGTGCACCGTACACTTAGTGCGGGAAGCAGGAACGGGCCGGACCGGACTGGTGACGCACACCACTTGCTTGGTGTGAGGAGCGGGACTGGGTTTCATCATAACCCTCCGCTCCCTCAGCTGCCTACCGAGTTCCTCTCGCCGTGCCTCATTTCTCACCCTTTCCCTAATCGCCTCTAATAGCTCCATCCTCTGCCACATTAACTCCTGCTCCCTCTTCGCCAGTAGCCCCCTTAACCTGGTGGCCTCCTCACCTAATCGCCCTGTGGCAGCCTCCTGCTGCCCAGTCGCCCCTGCCGTGTGCCCCCCCCTAAAAATTTCTTGGGGTTGCCTCTCGACCCTCCGACGCTGCTCCCACGTCCAGGTTGCCTGTTCCTGGACACGCTGCTTGGTCCTGGTATGGTGGGTTTTTCTGTCACGATCGTCTTGGAAAGGAGTAGACCAAAGCGCAGCGTGTTGCACGAACATGATGCTTTATTTAATTAAAGCGAAACCCGAAACAACAAAACAAATAACGATTCGTGAAGTCCACAGTGACAATGACTGACTAGGAACAAAAACCCACAAACACAAGGTGAAAATTTTTATTTTGCTCATTTGCACCTATTTGCACATAATCTCTTGCACATCTATCATTCCAGTGTTAATACTAATTGTAATTATTTTGCACTATAGCCTATTTATTGCCTTACCTCCTTAACTTGCTACATTTGCACACACTGTATATATATTTTCTTTTTTAGTTTTGTTTGACCTCATATGTAACTCTGTGTTGTTGTTTTTATCGCACTGCTTTGCTTTATCTTGGCCAGGTCGCCGTTGTAAATGAGAACTTGTTCTCAACTGGCTTACCTGGTTAAATAAAGGTTAAATAAAAAAAATAAAAAATGGTGAGGATGAATTAAACTAACATCTTGCTAGCTAGCAACATTAGTGAAGCCAGCTGCAGTCACACATTGGCTACCTAGCAACATTACATAATTTATAATTTCTGGAGGCAGTGGAAATGCAATTTGAGCTAGCCCACCAAGGCCAGCCCAACCTGGGTTGACTTCAAAGTGCCAATGCAAACGGGGCTTAAATGGTTTGGGTGACAGGGAAACTCACCGCCTTTATGGCCAGACTGCATCATCATACGACGACGGACGGTGTCGAAGGGGTAGGCGGTCAGGCCGGCCACAGCAGTTACAGACTGAGCAATTGCCCAGCTCACTAAAATTGAAGTGTTCTTGGGATCTGGCAACATACCTGCAAGGACACAGAATAGTACATATTCATATCCACATGCATATCTATAAATGTCCAGACACCAATAGCTTTCTGTAAAAATGTTTGTGTTATATACCTTTAGCTGTGTCATACATGCCGAAGTAGGAACCTCTGTAGATGATGATGCCTTGTACAGACACTGTGAAACCCTGGTACAGACCCCTCAGACCGTCACACCTAAACGTCTTCACCAAGCAGTCTGCTAGACCATTGTACTCCCTCATTCCACCCTTTCCGACGTCAGCTCCCAGACGAGTTCTTGTGAAATCAAGAGGGTAAACTAAGCAAAGGGAGGTGGCTCCTGCAGCGCCACCGGAGGCCAGGTTGCCAGCGAAGTACCTCCAGAACTGCTTGGACTTGTCTACGCCGTCAAGGAAGAAACTCTTGTACTTGTCTTTGAAGGCGAAGTTGAGGGCCTGGGAGGGAAAGGCTCTGATGACATTGGCCAGGTTACCTCTCCAGAAGGCAAGGAAGCCCTCTTCCTTGGGAATGCGGGTAATGCAATCGACGATACCCTTGTACTGTGTCTCTTTCGTGATCCGCTTGCTGGCATGTTGGACCTGTTAAAGAGTAGGAGAAAACTGTGTAATAACATTTATATCAGTTAATGAATTATACAACCCCTAACATGGCAAGATGGTATAGCTCTGAAGTTCTAGGCTCCGCAGCTTGCCAGAAGATACCGACCCTACCTTTACGCTTGAGCTGCCGTCCCTTACGAAAGAAAATTGCAGTCAGAGTGCATTATAACTGCAGTACACTGCAGTATAACTGCAGTATGCTGCCAATACTGTGTCCAAAATATTTTTTTTTTTACTGCAGTAATTTTGCAGTGTAACTGCAGTTAGAGTGCAGTATAACTGTAACGCAGTACACTGCAGTTATTCTGCAATTACTGCGTCCAAAATACCACAGTCGACTGCAGTTACTGCACTTTTACTGCAGTTTCAAAACTTCTCTTTTTTTGTAAGTGCTGGGGTCGGAACGCAATCATGGTTACATTAAGACAACGTGGAACCGGTGGGAGATAATGGTCGAAAACATACCTCAATGCAGGGATGGGATATACCACTGAACTTTGAGGATCTGAGGACCCATGCCAAATCTTTTCAGTCTCCTGAGGGGGAATAGGCTTTGTTGTGCCCTCTTCACGACTGTCTTGGTGTGTTTGGACCATGATAGTTTGTTGGTGAAGCTCTCAACCTGTTCCACTACAGCCCCGTCGATGAGAATGGGGGCGTGCGGTCCTCTTTTTTTTCCTGTAGTCCACAATCATCTCCTTTGTTTTGATCACGTTGAGGGAGAGGTTGTTATCCTGGCACTTGCTCTGGCTATCATTAGTTGTTGATGTGCATAACTGGGGGAGAGAGAGCCTACCTTTTCATGGTTGTTTGATCAATAGAACTGTAAAGTTCCCAAATGTAAGAGGACTCCCGTGGTATTGACATATTTGCAGAAATCCATTCCGGTGTATTTTGTGGCTTTTGGCGAATGCGTTCTAATGATCTAAAGTTGCAACTGCCTGTAAAGACACAGTCCAGTTCAAAGTGAATGATGGCAGGCCCATGTGACAAATGGTTTGTTTGTATAAAGGACTACTGTAGCTCTGATTGGCTATAGCGCACCGGTCTGTGTGGACTCCAGTCCTGGACAAGACAGATGTTTTTATTCGGTTTAATTTACTGCAGTGTCTATTAATTGTCCAAACACACAGCCGCTTTCCCACTCTATATTGCTATAGAATTTTCACAAATGCCAATACTTATTCATACATTCTAAGAATTTATGAAAATGACCATATCCAAGTGGTCGCGTGTCAGAAAATGTTTTTAAAAAGTGTCTGATTATTCCTGGGGGTGTATATGAACATATTTGAATAAGATGTCATGTTGCTAAAATGCTGCCAGTTCCACTTTAAATGTAACAATGTTTCACACACATAACTTATTTTGAAAGAGATGGCTAACAGCAAGCGCGCTGCAATAAAAAAAAATACAGTTCCACTCACCAGATGATAATTTGAAACTTAACTTCTTGTTGAAAGTTATTCTTGAAAAGGGAGAAGCTAACAAATTAGCAACAACATCCTCTTTGATAACGCCTGCTGCAGCCGCTGTAAACTAGCCGACAACAAAAGCAAGCTAGCTAGACCATGGGAAAAACTACTGCTCACTATAATAGTGATAATTAAGCAGTGACCTGTTGGATTTCAAAGCAGAAGTTTCCATACCTTTTGTAAAAACGGTCCCACCCATTAAGTCAAAATGTGATTGGTTGATTCCACTGTCACTCCAAAATGTTGCCCTAATACAGTTGAATGGCAGATGCCTTTATCTAGCTTCTGAAAACCTAGCCAATGGCTGACTTAGCTAGCTAGATGTATCTCCCCAGAGACCAGCAAAGAAAAATCCTGATTGGATCTTTTTTTCTCTTCAGTGTTAACCCTTTCCAACAAAAACTGACTAGATTAAAATCAGAACATCATTGAAAATAATATAATGAATCATTATTTTATAAATCCTTAGCCCTTCTCTGAAGCTGTAGAAGGCTCATTGTTCCCCACTGTGTTTGTTAGTCATTTGTAGAGTGGCTCCATTTTCCCTCAGCATGCATTATTGTCACTATTTTGAATGTCTAAAGTATCTATATGTTGTCCTGAAATATGAACACAGAAATACTGGACAATTTTAAATCTTATTGTGGTGGTGATTTGACAAAATTACAATCATGGTCTTGAATTGGACTCGCATTTTTCTGGTCTCGGTTTTGACTCTCTCGGACCCCTTGTCCCCCCACCGGTCTTGGTCTTGATTTGGACTCGATTTGCTCCGGTCTTAGTCTTGAATCGGTCTCGCTTTAGGTGGTCTCGAACACAACATTGGTTCCACCAATGTGGCTAACTGTTCGCTAGCTTAATTGGCTATTACATTTGTGATAATGGGTATTTCAATTTACTGGGTGACTTTCACTTTTACTTGAGTCATTTTCTATTAAAAAGGTATCTTTACTTTTACTCAAGTATGACAATTGAGTACTTTTTCCACCTCTGATTTCACATGACTGGGAATACACATATGCATCTGTTGGTCACATATACCTTAAAAAAAAGGTAGGGGCGTGGATCAGAAAACTAGTCAGTATCTGGTGTGACCACCATTTGCCTCATACAGGGTTACCAGGTCTAGCTAACATTTCTAGCCCAATGACCTCTGAAAACCAACCCACAAGGCCTGAAAACTAGCCCCCCAAATAATTTTTCGCAGCAAGAGAGGAGTGCCACATTTATCCAATAAACCCTTTTTTCATAACGTTGTCGAGCGAATTAAGGAATGTCAACGTAATTTTAACTAAGTAGGCTGAGAAGCAAAATTCGGTTTTCCATCAAAATAATTATTGTGAGTTTAAGAATGTCACGAGAAAAGATAGTCCTTAAACTCTCCAGATAACTTTCCATCAATGGATGTCGATTTAACTTGTTTTGACTGCTATGATTAAGCAATAAGGCCAGAGGAGGTGTGGAGTATTGCCATTATACCACAGCTAAGGGCTGTTCTTAGGACACACCCGAGTGGCGCAGTGGTCTATGGCACCCTGGTTGGATTCCAGGCTGTATCACAACCGGCCGTGATTGGGAGTCCCATAGGGCGGCGCACAATTGGCCCAGCGTCGTCTGGGTTTGGCCGGTGTAGGCCGTCATTGTAAATAAGAGTTGGTTCTTAACGGACTTGCCTAGTTAAATAAAAGGTAAAATAAAATTGGCCATATACCACAAACCCCTGAGGTGCCTTATTGCTATTATAAACGGGTTACCAACGTAATTAGTTAATTAAAAAGTAGATTTTTGTCATGCCAGTGGTACATGTCTGATATACCATGGCCTTCAACCAATCAGCATTCAGGGCTCATACCACCCAGTTTATAATTGTAAATAAATCCTGTTTGCGCATGTGCATAACTATAGATACATCGGACAGGAGAGTTTGAGTGATGAAAGTTGGACAGAGGATCTCAAAAAAACGAATGTTGGGCTATTTTCTGGCAATTTTGCCATTATTATGTGCCAGATATTAAGACTAATAACTGTTATAAATGGCCTATTTGCAAAATTGATCTGTTATTTCAATAGGCATAGGCTACTGACTAAAATCTGGGTTTATAATTGCAATTCAACTTTGACATGGTTTGCTGAGCTAGATGCAGGTAGCCTATAGGCCCTGACAAGCCAATATGCCAACATCTAATTTGAGGGAAAGTCCACAATGAAATTGACATTAAATGTGGAGAATGATACAGTGCATTCGGAAAGTATTCAGACCCCTTCCCTTTTTCCGCATTTTGTTATGTTACAGCCTTATTCTAAAATGAATTAAAAAATAAATGTCAATCCACACACACACACACACACCCCATAATGACAAAAAAAAACTGGTTTAGAAAATGTTGCACATTTATAAAAAATAAAATGAAATACCTTATTTACATAAGTACTCAGACCCTTTGCTATGAGACTCGAAATTGAGCTCAGGTGCATCCTGTTTCCATTGATCATCCTTGAGATGTTTCTACAACTTGGAGTCCACCTGTGGTACATTCAATTGATTGGACATGATTTGGAAAGGCACAGACCTGTCTATATAAAGGTCCCACAGTTGACAGTGCATGTCAGAGCAAAAACCAAGCCATGAGGTCGAAGGAATTGTCCGTAGAGCTCCAAAACAGGATTGTGTCGAGGCACAGATCTGGGGAAGGGTACCAAAAAATGTCTGCTGCATTGAAGTTCCCCAAGAACACAGTGGCCTCCATGCTTCTTAGATAGAAGTTTGGAACCACCAAGAATCTTCCTAAAGCTGTCCGACCAGCCAAACTGAGCAATCAGGGGAGATGGGCCTTGGTCAGGGAGGTGACCAAGAACCCGATGGTCACTCTGACCAAGCTCTAGAGTTCCTCTGTGGAGATGGGAGAACCTTCCAGAAGGACAACAATCTCTGCAGCACTCCATCAATCAGGCCTTTATTGTAGAGTGCCCAGACGGAAGCCACTCCTCAGTAAAAGGCACATGACAGCCCGCTTGGAGTTTGCCAAAAGGCACCTAAAGGACTCGGACTATGAGAAATAAGATTCTCTGGTCTGATGAAACCAAGATTTAATTATTTGGCTTGAATGCCAAGTGTCATGTCTGGAGGAAACCAGGCACCATCCCTACGGTGAAGCATTGTGGTGGCAGCATCATGCTGTGTGGATGTTTTTCAGCGGCAGGGACTGGGAAACTGGTCAGGATCGAGGGAAAGATGAACAGAGCAAAGTACAGAGAGATCCTTGATGAAAACCTGCTCCAGAGCACTCAGGACCTCAGATTGGGGTGAAGGTTCACTTTCCAACAGGACAACGACCATAAGCACACAGCCAAGACAATGAAGGAGTGGCTTCGAGACAAGTATCTGAATGTCCTTGAGTGGCCCAGCCAGAGCCTGGACTTGAACATCTCTGGAGAGACCTGAAAATAGCTGTGCAGAGACGCTCCCCATCCAACCTGACAGAGCTTGAGAGGATCTGCAGAGAAGAATGGGAGAAACTCGCCAAATACAGGTGCGCCCAGCTTGTAGAGTCATACCCAAGAAGACAAGGCTGTAATCGCTGCCAAAGGTCCTTCAACAAAGTACTGGGTAAAGGGTCTGAATACTTATGTAATGTGATGTTTTTTAAACTTTGTTTTTGCTTAGTCATTATGGGATATTGTGTGTAGATTGATGAAGGGGAAAAACAATTTAATACATTTTTGAATCCGGCTGTAACATAACAAAATGTGGAAAAAGTCAAGGGGTCTGAATACTTCCCAAATGCACTGTACATTTGCGATAGGGCTGTGACCATGATCACAATTGATAACTTCCAATTAACTAAATATGGCCATTAATAGTTGCATAATAACACAAGGCTACAACAAGAAAACAGAGTTATAGGCTATTTATTAAATCATTTTGCCAGCTCCAGGTAGGCTACACAAGTGGCACAAATTGATTTGCAATAATTCCAGTGATAGTCATTTCAATATTTGTATAGTATCAAATGGTAGGCTACAGTAGTCTGCAATGGCATAGACATGAATAGCCTACTTGATGGCCAACAGATGCAAATGTAGCCAATCATTGGCCACATTTTTTTATGTCATTTTCATTGTGGACTTTTTCCCCATAACACAAGCACGCGAGGGAGTTCCATAACTTCCATTTCAAATTTCCACTCATGCAACGCTCCAGACCCTAGAACTGAGCATGAGTAAAGTCCTTCGCTTTATTCTGTTATCCATAAGACAAGTCGACATTTGAATGCAGTTTACTTAAACCACCTCTAAGAGAATTTATCTAAAAGAGCTCTAGTGTGCCTAAAGTCATTTTCCAATGCTTTATCGCCGTTATATCAGTTGTAGCGCATTAATATGTTTTATGGAAAAAGGGTGTCTCCATAATGACCAATCTAAATAGCCTACCTACAACTGGTCACGATGTGCGAGCGTCACCGTCTCAGCTACAGCACTCTCTCAACTCACACACACCCCTCCGGCCCTCCCCCTCTCCACAATTCACTAACTCAGTAACAGCCTGCTCACTGCCTGATAGTCAGTAGCAGCAGGTCACAGTGAAATATGTATTTTTAAGAGAAATGCCATGGCAGCCGCAGTGCAATTTAGAAGTTGCCTAATACCCGCCATCCGCGACCAATGCAGTTTCACCCGCAAAATCATTTTCAAAGTAGCCCAATTTGGCTAGAAAACTGCGAACATGGCAACACTGGCCTCATGCAACGTGACACATCTCCTTCGCATAGAGTTGATCAGTCTGTTGATTGTAGCCTGTGGAATGTTGTCCCACACTTCAATGGCTGTGCGAAGTTGCTGGATATTGGCGGGAACTGGTACACACGGTCGTACGCGTCGATCCAGAGCATCCCAAACATGCTCAATGGGTGGCATGTCTGGTGAGTATGCAGGCCATGGAAGAACTTGGACATTTTCAGCTTCCAGGAATTGTGTACAGATCCTTGCGACATGGGGCCGTGCATTATCATGCTGAAACATAAGGTGATTGCGGTGGATGAATGGCACAACAATGGTCCTCAGGATCTCATCACGGTATCTCTGTGCATTAAAATTGCCATTGATAAAATGCAATTGTGTTGGTTGTCCGTAGCTTATTCCTGCCCATACCATAACCCCACCGCCACCATGGTGCACTCTGTTCAATGGTGACATCAGCAAACCGCTCGCCCACACGACGCCATTCCCGCTGTCTGCCATTTGCCCGGTACAGTTGAAACCGGGATTCATCCGTGAAGAGCACAATTCTACAGCCTGCCAGTGGCCATTGAAGGTGAGCATTTGCACACTGAAGTTAGTTACGACGCCGAACTGCAGTCAGGTCAAGACCCTGGTGAGGACAACAATCACACAGATAAGCTTCCCTGAAACGGTTTCTGACAGTTTGTGCTGAAATTCTTCATTTGTGCAAACCCACAGATTCATCAGCTGTCTAGGTGGCTGGTCTGAAACAATCCCGCAGGTGAAGAAGCCGGATGTAGAGGTCCTGGGCTGGCGTGGTTAATTGTGGTCTACGGTTGTGAGGCCGGTTGGACGTATCGCCAAATTCTCTAAAACGATGTTGGGAGGTGGCTTATGGTAGAGAAATTAACATTAAATTATCTGGCAACAGCTCTGGTGGACATTCCTGCAGTCAGCATGCCAATTGTACGCGCCCTCAAAACTTGAGGCATCTGTGACATTGTGTTGTACGTCAAAACTGCAAATTTGCATTTTATTGTCCCCCAGCACAAGGTGCACCTGTGTAATGATCATGCTGTTTAATCAGCTTCTTGATATGCCACCTGTCAGGTGGATGGATTATCTTGGCAAATGAGAAATGCTCACTAACAGCGATGTAAACAAATTTGTGCACAACATTTGAGAGAAATAAGCTTCTTCTGCAAATGAAACATTTCTGGGATCTTTTATTTCAGCTCATGAAACATGGGATCAACACTTTACATGTTGCATTTATATTTTTTCTCAGTATAGTTAGCTGAGTAACGTAAATTGTTAAGACAAGTTCATGAGTTGTGCTAAGCTATAGAACTGTTTTTGCTAGCACAGACTGGAATATGTTCCGGGATTCTTCCGATGGCATTGAGGAGTACACCACATCAGTCACTGGGTTCATCAATAAGTGCGTCGATGACGTCGTCCCCACAGTGACTGTACGTACATACCCCAACCAGAAGCCATGGATTACAGGCAACATCCGCACTGAGCTAAAGGGTAGAGCTGCCGCTTTAAAGGAGCGGGTCTCTAACCCGGACGCTTATAAAAAATCCCGCTATGCCCTCCGATGAACCATCAAACAGGCAAAGCGTCAATACAGGACTGAGATTGAATTGTAGTACACCGGCTCTGACGCTCGTCGGATATGGCAGGGCTTGCAAACTATTACAGACTACAAAGGGAAGCACAGACGCGAGCTGCCCAGTGACACAAGCTTACCAGACGAGCTAAATCACTTCTATGGTCGCTTCGAGGCAAGCAACATTGAAGCATGCACGAGAGCATCAGCTGTTCGACGACTGTGTGATCACGCTCTCCGTAGCCGATGTGAGTAAAACCTTTAAACAGGTCAACATTCACAAGCCTGCAGCGCCAGACGGATTACCAGGACGGGTACTCAGAGTATGCGCTGACCAACTGGCAAGTGTCTTCAATTACATTGCCTAAATGACTACAGACCCGTAGCACTGACGTCTGTAGCCATGAAGTGCTTTGAAAGGCTGGTCATGGCTCACATCAACACCATTATCCCAGAAACCCTAGACCCACTCCAATTTGCATACTGCCCCAACAGATCATGCAATCTCTACTGCACTCCACACTGCCCTTTCCCACCTGGACAAAAGGAACACCTACGTGAGAATGCTATTCATTAACTACAGCTCAGCGTTCAACACCATAGTGCCCTCAAAGCTCATCACTAAGCTAAGGACCCTGGGACTAAACACCTCCCTCTGCAACTGGATCCTGGACTTCCTGACATGCCGCCCCAGGTGGTAAGGGTAGGTAACAACACATCTGGCACGCTGATCCTCAACACCGGGGCCCCTCAGGGGGACTGAGTGTGTGCTCAGTCCCCTCCTGTACTCCCTGTTCACCCATGACTGCATGGCCAGGCACGACTCCAACACCATCATTAAGTTTGCAGACGACGCGACAGTGGTAGGCCTGATCACCGACAACGATGAGACAGCCTGTAGGGAGGAGGTCAGAGACCTGGCCGTGTGGTGCCAGGATAACAACCTCTCCCTCAATGTGATCAAGACAAAGGAGATGATTGTGTTGATCCCTTTTATTGAGCAATTCTCCTTTGCCAAGATAATCCATCCACCTGACAGGTTTGGCATGTCAAGGAGCGGATTAAACAGCATGATCATTACACAGGTGCACCTTGTGCTGGGGACAATAAAAGGCCACTAAATGTGCAGTTTTGTCACACAACACAATGCCACAGATGTCTCAAGTTGAGGGAGTGTGGTTTTTGAGAATTTGGCAGTATGTCCAACTTGCCTCACAACCGCAGACCACGTGTGTGGGCGAGCAGTTTGCTGATGTCAACGTTGTGAACAAAGTGCACCATGGTAGCCTTCTGGTATGGGCAGGCATAAGCTACAGACAATGAACACAATTGCATTTTATCAATGCCAATTTGAATGTACAGAGATACCGTGATGAGATCCTGAGGCCCATTGTCGTGCCATTCATCCACTACCATCACCTCATGTTTCAGCATGATAATGCACAGCCCCACGTCGCAAGGATCTGTACACAATCCCTGGAAGCTGAAAATGTCCCAGTTCTTCCATGGCCTGCTACTCACCAGACATGCCACCCATTGAGCATGTTTGGGATGCTCTGGATCAAAGTGTACAACAGTGTGTTCCAGTTCCTGCCAATATCCAGCAACTTCGCACAGCCATTGAAGAGGAGTGGGACAACATTCCACAGGCCTCAGTCAACAGCCTGGTCAACTCTATGTGCCAACCTGGCCCTGGGGACCCATGTCCAAATCTTTTCAGTCTCCTGAGGGGGAGAAGGTGTTGTCGTGCCCTCTTCATGACGGTCTTGGTGTGTTTGGACCATGATAGTTTGTTGGTGATGTGGACACCAAGGAACTTGAAGCTCTCAACCTGCTCCACTACAGCCCTGTCGATGTTAATGGGGGCCTGTTCAGCCCTCCTTTTCCTGTAGTCCACGATCAGCTCCTTTGTCTTGCTCACATTGAAGGAGAGGTTGTTGTCCTGGCACCACACTTCCAGGTCTCTGACCTCCTCCCTAAAGGCTGTCTCATTGTCGTCAGGAAGTCCAGGATCCAGTTGCAGAGGGAGGTGTTTAGTCCCAGGGTCCTTAGCATAGTGATGAGCTTTGTGGGCACTTGGTGTTGAACGCTGAGCTGTAGTCAATGAATAGCATTCTCACATAGGTGTTTTTTATTTAACCAGGTAGGCCAGTTGAGAACAAGTTCTCATTTACAACTGCGACCTGGCCAAGATAAAGCAAAGCAGTGCGATAAAAACAACACAGAGTTACACATGTCCAGGTGGGAAAGGGCAGTGTGGAGTGCGATTGAGATTGCGTCATCTGTGGATCTGTTGGGGCGGTATGCGAATTGTAGTGGGTCTAGGGTCTACCTGTAAAATGTCTGTTTTCTTTCTGCATCCTTCTATGCCTCGGTCTCTGTTCCTTTTACTCTGCTCCTGTTCTTCAGGATCTAGGGTTCTGCCATGCTCTGAGATGCCTTCCGTATCCCTTACCCCAGACCTGGATCCACCTGATGTCCACCATGATCAATCACCCTCCAAGATCCCACTTTTCATTACATTATCTACAGCTACTGTTAATGTCATGTGGTTTCATCTAATCTGCTAAGGACCTGTGCTTGACATACCATCCTGGGCACAGTGAGATACACAGATGCACTACATACACTAGCACTGCCAACACTCCAAGAGCAAAGAGAACAGCTGTGCCTGGACTTTACAGTCTCCCTCTTCAAGTCCCCCTTCTAAGACTGGCTGCCTGTCGAGGAAAAGTGACTGGCAGAACCACCTGTAGCACCCACCTCTTCTCTATCCCACATGCCAGAACTGAGATAAAAATAAATAAATAAAACACCCATACCCTACTTCTGCCAAGACTGCCCCTTCTCATATGTACTTTACTTGTCATTCATACTTCGGTTTTCTCAACTAAATTGTATTTTATTGTTTGTGTTGATGTTAGCCTATACTCATGTATTTCAGTCTATAACTGCCATGTGGGTATATTAAATAAAATCATCAAGTTCATGACACACCTGTTCCACAAAAAACAACTTTTTCATATTTCAATCTTAAATATTGACAGGTTGTTTTTTCCCCCCACTGGGTGTTCATTTAATTAATTGTTGTAAATCCCTTTTGGTATTTACAACAAATAAGCGGCCTGGTGCCCTAAGTACCTGCTTATTTCGCCTATGCCTGGAGCCATCCCTGCTTGCTTTCAAACAAATGTCCGAATCCAACTTTTGTCCAAACCTACCATATTCCTGCTGAGACATCGGGCTGCCATTCGATCACAGTCATACGAGACTTCCTACCACTTTATACACAGCAGGAATATGGTGCGGTTGGGACAAAAGTTGGATTTAGATGTTTAATTGATAGTCAGGGACACATTTCACTTTACATCTGGTAAATAGAGTTCCTAGAGATTATACGTTTTTTTTTGTGAAACCGGCTATATTGAGGTTTTTTTTTTTTTTTCGTCGCCAGAACGATGCACAGCTCAGGGAGCCCAACCAATACACATACTCCGGATGTTGCGTCTCAAAGCTACTACGGAACCATAGCTACCTGAAGGAGAAGCTTGACTCTCTCGATGGGCGCAACCGCCGTTTCGGCGATGGCAGCGGAGATTCCACCAGCCAAGAAATCCTTTGCGAATGAAACTGCGGTCTCATTCATTGTGAGATGTTGTGAGTATGAAAAATGTATGCACTCACTAACTGTAAGTCGCTCTGGATAAGAGCGTCTGCTAAATGACTAAAATGTAAATGTAAGTTGACTTGCAGACGGAACACCCAGTTATCCCAACTGCACTCCAACAGCGGATGGCAGGTATAACTTGCGCCGACTTTCCTGGCACAACCTGTTAAAGGGGCAATCTGCAGACACAACCTGTTAAAGGGGCAATCTGCAGTTGCTACATCAATTTTTATAACATAATTGAATGATATGCACCCACTGATAACTTATAAATGCCACATGAGCTTAGTTCAACTGTCGTAGGCCTACCCCATCATAACCCAAAATATAAGCTTGTTTTACTCCAATGTTTGTAAACAAAGTAAATGTAAACAAACACTATATAGCCTCAGAACATGGTTAGAACTATACTTTTGATGTCATGGATGGTCAGTCCTTGCATCCATTACTTTGTGTGTAAATTTGAGAGTATTACATTTTTCCAGCCCCCATCCCTCAGATTTTTATCGAAATAGGGGTGGATATTATGTTTTGTTATTGTTACACGACAATCTGCTTGCGCATGTCCAACAAAGAAGGCCATTTGTCATGGCTGCGGGTAAATTAAAGGTCCGGGCTATCCGGTTAGGTAAGGGTTAAGGTTAGGGTAGGGGTTAAGGTTAGGGACTAGAGCGCTTCATGGATCCACCTGTACCCGAGAGGGTCCAAATCCAGAATTCTAAATAATGTCACGGGTCTGGGTCAGATCTGATATGATTGTCATGGGTATGTTTCATTTTCACTGACTTGTCCGGAAGGGCCTGTACAGATCCGAACGCGATTGCTGCAGTAAAGAGAGAGGGAGAGACATTTTATCATTTGTGCTGCTGCTCGTTTTCTCAAGAGCTAGCTTGTTGTTGTTGGCCAATCATAAATCGTCAAAGAAGCTACAGTCAGAGCTTCCGTATCTAATAAATGGAAGATGGGATTAAAAATGACAGAATTAAAAGTTCAAGGAGAAAGATAGGCTACAACGACCAAGAGCTAACAGGTAGGCTGCTACTTAATATTTTGAATAGAGTTGTTTTTTGAAACTGTAGGATGAGAAAGCGCATGCACTGCAGCCTCAATTACCCTAGCTACCTAACGCTGACTAGCTTCTCCTGGTTTGATGCACTCAAGAAAGGTACTATTGCAGACAGTCTACTATAGCGCGAGTCGGCTTGGTTGTTTGCCGTCTCTCCCTCCTCCCTGTTCATCCCCTTTCCTCCCTGCTCACTGTGTCACTCGCTCTATACGGAACGGGTCTAGTGGTTCTTGGATCCGTTTGGAACAGGCCTCTATATTTTAAAAATTAGTCGGGTCTGGGTGGGAAAGCCCCATCGGGGTCCGTGGAGACCTCTAGTAGGGACGTCAGCAATGACTGGAGGCAAAGCATCAACACAGTGAGCTTGCCTCAAAGTATCTCTTCAGGTCATCCCATACAGAACTAGTCAGTCGATATTTTTGGCATTTTGTCATTTCCTGTTTTGGGTGCTAGGCAGCATCTCATTTCTCTTTCTCTGTCTTTCTCCATTCTCTGGCTGCATCTTAATTATCCATGCTTCTCCCAAAGTGTGCACTAGTACACCTTCTCCCATGGATTTAAACTCACTCTAGTCAACGCTTACACCATTTCTATACTTTTTAAATCCATGACAAGGAGTGTGCATATGCACACTTCTGAATCAGGATGCAGCTTATGTCTCTTGAGCACTCATCTTAATTAATCTTAAATAAAATGACTGGTATGCGCATTATGGTGGAAAATCCCCCATCCCTTGTTTACACCAATCAAATTAAATGACAGTTCAGATGAAAGGAACACAAACAAAGCCATTGCCTAATATATTCCTGTCCAATACTTGAAGGCCAAAGATGTCTTCACCTGTCTCTGAAGCCATATCAGACTACTTATGTCTATGTGAAGCACAACCATCTACCCATAACAGATTCCCTATAAGAAAACATTTGAGAGTGTAAGCAATGTACCTCCGCTAGTCACGCATTATGATGGATAATTGTGTCCTATGTATCAGTTAATTTAAATGTAATTAATATTATCTGCATTAAGAATAAGTCAAATTTAGTTGTCATTGTCTTGTTTTTCCTTTACAGATGCCCTCTTTTAGAAGAAAACAAGCCACGCTGGTTTACAGAGACCTGACTAGAGTTGTGAAAGCGCGTACACCCCTGCCATCAACTTGGATCTGTGAAAAAGTTGCTCATTTCAATTCTGTTCAACTTAATTTAACCAGAATCGAGTTCCACAGTGGAGGTTTCATAAAACCCAGCTGTCAAACAAGGAAATCGTTCCAATCGTTTTTTCCACCATTCATTTTTCCCATAGGGGATTTTAGAGACACTTAAAGATGCACTATGCAGAAATTGCTCCACCATTTCCTGGTTGCTAAAATTCTAATAGTACGTCTAATTTCAGTTTGTACAATGACTGCTTGTTTTGTCACACAATCTAAACTGCTGTGAAATATATTTTCCATAACCAAAAAGATTGTTTATTCAGCTGTTTGAAGCTGGTGTAAAAAAACGAAAGTAAAAGACGCAAAAACGAAACTTCAGAACGGGAAGCATAGAAATAGCACACACAGAACGGATCTACCGCTTCTTAGACTTGCTTTCAACAGGAATGAAAGATCTATAACTCACATTTCTATGTGAATTTGGTGGGGGTCGCCCAAAAAGTTACATGTTGTAGCTTTAAAATAAGGGCTGTGTTTCGTGTAGGCTTCCCCTGGCCTGACGTTTTGATAACCATGTAAATCTCTCTCGGACAAGGTGACTTTTATCAATATATTCAGCTCTATTTACTCTCAGATTCAAAAATGCTAATTGGCATCAAAGTAGACATCATGCAAAAGTACAAATTCCTGCAAGCTCCTGCATATCATCTCTAGCTGATACCTTTGCTAACAGGTATTGTGTCCATTTAAAACTTGCACAAGACAGTTCATTGTCCATTTAAAGAAATGTATCCTATTTATTCATTACTACATTTAGCTAACATTAGATAGGTAATCCAGAGATTCTTACCTTTGCCTCGATTCAGCAGTCTCTTCCAGATCATCATGGCATTTGTAGTTCTTTATGATAGCCAAATTAGCAGCTAATTAGCATTTCATTTGGGGGGTAAATACAGGCGACTATATTGATAAGTCAGCTTGTCCTAGAGAGATTTACACAGTTATCAAAACGTCACGCTAGGGTAAGCCTACACGAAACACTGCCCTTATTTTAAGTGTTTCTAAAATCCCCTATGGGAAAAATGAATGGTGGAAAAACGATTATTGGAACCATTTCCCTGTTTGACCTCTAGGTTTTATGGGTATTATGACTCATACTGTGGTACTCTATAGTCCACTCAGTAACAGTTGTCACTACTCTCTAGGACAGGGCTCTCCAAACTTGTTCCTGGAGCGGTACCCTTCTGTAGGTCTTCGCTCCAACCCCAGTTGTAACTAACCTGATTCAGCTTATCAACCAGCTAATTATTAGAATCAGGTGTGCTAGATTAGGGTGGCTGCAGTTCTGCAGCTGTGAGGTGGAACTGACTCTAGTCAACCTGTTTGAAAATGATCAGGACACCGCAAGTGCCCTTGAAAGCCATCAACCGAAAATCAGTATGTGCTTACACTTTACGAGCTGCGGCGTTACATTTTACTCCGGGTTTGCTCCGATTTCCTCTGACTTCCTCTGAAATACGCCAGGAGCTGATCAAGAGCCCATAGATCGGGTTAGAAATGTGTAGTGTCCGCCTGGCTTTAGAAGTAGGCCTTATATTACAATTGGAAACTAATGCCGCGTTCACGTCATGTCGGATTGATCTGAGGAACAACTTGGAGTGCTCGGAAGGAATACAAGCACCATTCTCACCATTGACAGCCGAAATCGCGGCCATGTTTGTTGCCATTTGCAGTGGTGCGTAACGTCAGAGTTCAGAATGTGGGTCCAGAGATCATACCCGAGTTTCCTAGTTGTAATTACGAGTTGGGGTGTTCACATGCATTTTTCCCAGTAGGAAGGTCGTATTTATGAGTTCCGGACATGATGTGAACGCGGCATAAGATGCCTGCTCCTTTATAGGAGACTCAACTGTAGCACCACCATGCTCAGAGACAGTTTCTACTGTCAAGCCATGAAAGGTTCTACATGGTCAATCGGACGTCTGAAGTGGCCGTACAGCATTTACTGCGATGCAGCCTCCACAGACGTCAGGGCTTTCATACTTCTTGCGCTTAGCAGAGCTATTGTGAAGGAAGTTGTCAAGGAAGTGAGTTTGTGTTTATACAAGACGTACCGCCCCATCCTACCGTCAACCAATCATGTCAATGCGGAACTATACGGCGCCCTCTGCATTGTTGCAAAATTTGAGAGTCACACGCCAATGCGGTATGGAGCATGATTTGGCCTCTGCACGCCTCCGGAGGCTCTGCAACTGTGTCACACCCTCCATACGTAGCCTCCGATCACATTTTCAGATCAAGCATACATTTGCGTTTAGACTGTTGAATAGATTACACATGACTCTATGCTGCTATGGTACTTACTGCACTGTACTTAATATAGTGTAGTTATCTACTTATTTCTTATTGCACACTACACTGTATTCCTGCACAAATGACAACTTTTGATTTTGATTTCATTTGATCTAGTTTACTGTAAACCTGTTCACTTTGTTATGATGAGACATGCATCTCACTAACATTGGATGTATTGTTTAGCAATGCAATCTAAGAAATGGAATGTCCTCATTTCAGGAAGAGCTCATGACGTCGGGCTGCAGTTCTGCAGCTTTGAGCTGGAACCTGTCACCCTGATCCGCCACAGACTCTGGCCTGCCATCCCCCATCAGCTGCAAACGGAAGTTTCAGTGGACCTCCTGCGCCAGTTTGCAGCCCTGCAGATGGAGTGTGGGGTGTCTTTCAGGGGGATTAGCTTTCCACAAAGCCAATTCATGCTGGAAGGCAGTTTTTGTATTTTAAATTGGAAATCAAACCATATACAATGTAAGTGTTTTCTATGAGGAGTAGTTTTTCATTCTCCAGACAGTTGAGCTCTACAGGAAGCTCACAAATGATTCATTTGAGGAGTTCAAACACTTGCCGTTTGAACGAGAGACTGTCAGGAAGTTGGTACCACAGACCTCTGATGGAATAAAGGGAGAATCTCAATTGCATCCTCTTTAACCTGTCTGCTCCCCTTCATCTACACTGATCGAAGTGGATTGAACAAGTGACATCAATAAGGGATCATAGCTTTCACCTGGTCAGTTGATGTCATGGAAAGAGCAGGTGTTCCTAATGTTTTGTACAGTCAGTGTATAAAGTCTCAGTAAGCTAAGATTCTTATTTGTCCTAAAATATTATGAATTCAATGTTGTTCACAATTGATAAGGGAAAATATTTAGTCATTTAGCGACAGTCTCTCATCCAGTGCGACTTACAATTAGTGCTTTCATCTTAAATGGACATTTCAAAAAAGGTCTACTTCATATTCATCATCTCCAGCACCACCCCAACATCAGCGTATGTGAAAATGATGTGTTTCTATGTTTTGTAGTTAAAAAGATAAAAGATAAGCTTTTCCAATGACATCATCAACCAATTAGTAGGCAATGCCTACTCACAATTGGTCAAAATCACACGATGCACACTGATGATGTCCCTTTAAGATAGCCAGGTGAGACAACCACATATCACAGTCATAGTAAGTCGTAGTCATTTTCCCTCAAAGTAGTTGGTTGGCTTTTTTATCTATCTTATATCATTGCCTTGCCAAACAGTTGTAATTTTATGCTTCAATACAAGCCGCTCAAAAATCCAACCCCTCGTCCATGACCTGGGAGGCGGAAACAGGTCATGTACTGGATTGCCAGACACTGTATCACATATTATTTTGTATAATTAATTATTTGCATTTTTGTTTGAAAGGAAAACGGTCATCAAATTATTGCAGCTGTTGGGCTCGCCAGGAAAAGATTGTCTGGGACCAGCATTGAGGTTCCCAAACATGTGGGCGGTTCTTTTGTGACCAGGACAAAGTCAACTGCTTTGTAGGAGGAGCACCAGGCACCAACTGAGGTATACTGAATTTTGAACAATGGGATGTATCTCATAATCTGTTTGTTTCACTGACCTACTTCTGTGTGACATGTGTGACATCTGTTTTTGTGTATAACCAACAGCTGGCTTATGCTGGAGAAGTAAAACGATTTGATTGAATTAAGGAAAAGCCATTTATCCTTGATGATGGGACTGTAGCATTGGACCATCCTGTCCTTAAACACTTTTTTTTAAATTGAACAGAAGTGAATATGGAGGACTTTTCACTCATGCGTATTCACTTCATTTTACAGGGGTGCCAGATGTTCCATGCTGGGGATGCGCTGTGGTCCAAACTCAGTAACTGGACTTAACTTGTGTGTTTGGAATGGCGTGCAGGCCATTTTAGTTATACACTGCTAAAAAAAATTAAGGGAACACTAAAATAACACATCCTAGATCTGAATGAATTAAATAATCTTATTAAATAATTTTTTCTTTACATAGTTGAATGTGCTGACAATAAAATCACACAAAAATTATCAATGGAAATCAAATGTATCAACCCATGGAGGTCTGGATTTGGAGTCACACTCAAAATTAAAGTGGAAAACCACACTACAGGCTGATCCAACTTTGATGTAATGTCCTTAAAACAAGTCAAAATGAGGCTCAGTAGTGTGTGTGGCCTCCACGTGCCTGTATGACCTCCCTACAATGCCTGGGCATGCTCCTGATGAGGTGGCGGATGGTCTCCTGAGGGATCTCCTCCCAGACCTGGACTAAAGCATCCGCCAACTCCTGGACAGTCTGTGGTGCAACATGGCGTTGGTGGATGGAGCGAGACATGATGTCCCAGATGTGCTCAATTGGATTCAGGTCTGGGGAACGGGCAGGCCAGTCCATAGCATCAATGCCTTCCTCTTGCAGGAACTGCTGACACACTCCAGCCACATGAGGTCTAGCATTGTCTTGCATTAGGAGGAATCCAGGGCCAACCGCACCAGCATATGGTCTCACAAGGAGTCTGAGGATCTCATCTCGGTACGTAATGGCAGTCAGGCTACCTCTGGCGAGCACATGGAGGGCTGTGCGGCCCCACAAAGAAATGCTACCCCACACCATGACTGACCCACCGCCAAACCGGTCATGCTGGAGGATGTTGCAGGCAGCAGAGCGTTCTCCACGGCATCTCCAGACTCTGTCACGTCTGTCACGTGCTCAGTGTGAACCTGCTTTCATCTGTGAAGAGCACAGGGCGCCAGTGGCGAATTTGCTAATCTTGGTGTTCTCTGGCAAATGCCAAACGTCCTGCACGGTGTTGGGCTGTAAGCACAACCCCCACGTGTGGACGTCGGGCCCTCATACCACCCTCATGGAGTCTGTTTCTGACCGTTTGAGCAGACACATGCACATTTGTGGCCTGCTGGAGGTCATTTTGCAGGGCTCTGGCAGTGCTCCTCCTGCTCCTCCTTGCACAAAGGCGGCGGTAGCGGTCCTGCTGCTGGGTTGTTGCCCTCCTACGGCCTCCTCCACGTCTCCTGATGTACTGGCCTGTCTCCTGGTAGCGCCTCAATGCTCTGGACACTACGCTGACAGACACAGCAAACCTTCTTGCCACAGCTCGCATTGATGTGCCATCCTGGATGAGCTGCACTACCTGAGCCAATTGTGTGGGTTGTAGACTCCTTTTCATGCTACCACTAGAGTGAAAGCACTGCCAGCATTCAAAAGTGACCAAAACATCAACCAGGAAGCATAGGAACTGAGAAGTGGTCTGTGGTCACCACCTGCAGAACCAGTGCTTTATTGGGGGTGTCTTGCTAATTGCCTATAATTTCCACCTGTTGTCTATTCCATTTGCACAAAAGCATGTGAAATTTATTGTCAATCAGTGTTGCTTCCTAAGTGGACAGTTTGATTTTACAGAAGTGTGATTGACTTGGAGTTACATTGTGTTGTTTAAGTGTTCCCTTAATTTTTTTGAGCAGTGTATATAACATTGGCTACGATGACTGATGTTGAACTGTCATTCCAGGCTTGCAAATGCTGTGTTCCTGCTGGGGGACCTAAAAACAATGACTAAACATCACAATGTTTCTTCATTATGACAATGCTTGCCAGCTGAAGCCTCATTTACAGGAAAAATTGATACGTCAATCTACAGTGAGTTCCAAAAGTATTGGGACAGTCACAAATGTTTTGTTGTTTTGTCTCTGTACTTCAGCACTTTGTATTTGAAATGGTACAATGACTATGAAGTTAAAAGTGCAGACTCTCAGCTTTAATTTGAGTGTATTTTCATCCATATCAGGTGAACCGTTTAGAAATTACAGCACTTTTTGTACATAGTCACCCCATTTTAGGAGACCAAAAGTATTGGCACAAATTCACTTGTGTATTAAAGTAGTCAAGTTTAGTATTTGGTCCCATATTCCTTGCACGCAATGATTACATCAAGCTTGCGACTCGACAAACTTGTTGGATGCATTTTCCATTTGCTTTGGTTGTTTCAGATTTGTGCCCAATATATAAATGTATTGTAGATAATGTATTGTATAATTTTGGAGTCACTTTTATTGTAAATAAGTTAATACACATATACAGTGGGGAGAACAAGTATTTGACACACTGCCGATTTTGCAGGTTTTCCTACTTACAAAGCATGTAGAGGTCTGTAATTGTTATCATAGGTACACTTCAACTGTGAGAGACGGAATCTAAAACAAAAATCCAGAAAATCACATTGTATGATTTTTAAGTAATTCATTTGCATTTTATTGCATGACATAAGTATTTGATACATCAGAAAAGCAGAACTTAATATTTGGTACAGAAACCTTTGTTTGCAATTACAGAGATCATACGTTTCCTGTAGGTCTTGACCAGGTTTGCACACACTGCAGCAGGGATTTTGGCCCACTCCTCCATACAGACCTTCTCCAGATCCTTCAGGTTTCGGGGCTGTCGCTGGGCAATACAGACTTTCAGCTTCCTCCAAAGATGTTCTATTGGGTTCAGGTCTGGAGACTGGCTAGGCCACTCCAGGACCTTGAGATGCTTCTTACGGAGCCACTCCTTAGTTGCCCTGGCTGTGTGTTTTGGGTCGTTGTCATGCTGGAAGACCCAGACACGACCCATCTTCAATGCTCTTACTGAGGGAAGGAGGTTGTTGGCCAAGATCTGGCGATACATGACCCCATCCATCCTCCCCGCAATACGGTGCAGTCGTCCTGTCCCTTTTGCAGAAAAGCATCCCCAAAGAATGATGTTTCCACCTCCATGCTTCACGGTTGGGATGGTGTTCTTGGGGTTGTAGTCATCCTTCTTCTTCCTCCAAACACGGCGAGTGGAGTTTAGACCAAAAAGCTCTATTTTTGTCTCATCAGACCACATGACCTTCTCCCATTCCTCCTCTGGATGATCCAGATGGTCATTGGCAAACTTCAGATGGGCCTGGACATGCGCTGGCTTGAGCAGGGGGACCTTGCGTGCGCTGCAGGATTTTAATCCATGACGCCGTAGTGTGTTACTGATGGTTTTCTTTGAGACTGTGGTCCCAGCTCTCTTCAGGTCATTGACCAGGTCCTGCCGTGTAGTTCTGGGCTGATCCCTCACCTTCCTCATGATCATTGATGCCCCACGAGGTGAGATCTTGCATGGAGCCCCAGACCGAGGGTGATTGACCGTCATCTTGAACTTCTTCCATTTTCTAATAATTGCGCCAACAGTTGTTGCCTTCTCACCAAGCTGCTTCCCTATTGTCCTGTAGCCCATCCCAGCCTTGTGCAGGTCTACAATTTTAACC